CCCTTACTTTAGTTAACTGTGCATCCTAATGTTTGTTGTGACTTCCTATCTCACCATGAAGGGTCACCTCATAGATCCGATGGCCGCTGCCCGGCTATTCATACCAACAACAGTACTTATAGCCAGCAGGATGTTCACTGATCTTCAACATTACCCCCTGAGCCAGAAAGTCGAAGCTGAAGACAAGACTGATGACAGTCCCTGAAGTTAAGGGAAGAAGGGATCCTTCCCATGAGACCTGCGTCATGGCGATTACTTCATGGACACGTGATCTTCACCTCGTCATGGGTACAACACACTCACAGGCGAAGAAGGTACGACTCAGACGACCGCTTTCCTCTTCTCTACTGAAAGAGTACGTATCTCGGGTCAATCGTCAGCTGCCCGGGCAGGCACCTCTGCCTCGCACCTGCCTCAGGTGAGGCTATCTACGTACCGTACCTACCTACCTTAGGCACACAATTGAAGGGTATTTATACCCCCCAACGTCGCTTTCTGTCACCAGCACAGCAGCGTCCGTCTAGGTTGGCGGGTCAGGTCAAGCTGTGTGCGAGGTGGCCGAACGGTTAAAATAGAACAAATCCTACAATGAAGTCGGAGATACTGGGTTGACTGAGGGGCGCGCTGTTCGGTTCCGGGCAGGGGCGTGAATTATATGGTCAGTATTCCCTCTACCTTCCTTTCTTTTATTTTCTTTTTGGCAGTCAATATACCATGGTATTTCTCCCTATTTATTTGGTATGATGGCTGGAATAATAATTCGGCCTCATCCCCTGTGCTGTTTTCATCGTATACGTCTCCCTAGGAATGATACCCGCAAGAACTGATATGAGAGCCCCTCGATCGGACGGCCGAACATTCTGGGCAAATAAGATTACTTACGCGGTAATATCCTCGGAGCACAGGCTGATGAAGCACTCTTGATTGCTTACTGACGTTGTTGTGCATTGGTACGGCAGCTAGGAGGCAGTTGCTCATACACCATGTTCTGTCAACCTTGGAGCATCTTTGGATTCGGACAGTTACTTCGCCGCAGGGCCATCTATCAGTCCTCGTATCTGCCTATGGAAAAAGGGGCTCCTGGTCGGCTAGCTCTGTGTGTGAGCAGTTAAGCCGGGATTGATGAGAGACGGGAGCACATGAACCTAGTTGTGGATAACATAGAATAGACAACACCGCGGAGAATATGACGCGCTTACACGACGTTGCGTAGTAAGAGATTAGTGACTGATAAGTATTCTGGCTAGCTTATTGATCGACACTCTCGATGCCCCTCTTGCACTTGACAGGGCCGCCCTCGGGAGGGTACACGACAATACGGTCAATATCAGCACCCTTAAAGTCAAAGCCGTTCCACAACCCACCAATGGTGATTGTGTTGTTCGCGTTCTTCTCCAGAGTCAACTGCAGAGGCGTAGACAAGATAATCCCCTTGTGGCTGTCACGCTGGAACAGCGTCTCGACCTGCTGCTCGTTGCCGTTCACGACAACCGACGCAACACGACGCAGCTGCCACTTCCCGCCAATGCGGTCGGGTGTGCCGCCGGGCTGGTCACCAAAACCCATGTCATCTGTGTTCTGGTAGTAGAACGAGACCCACTGCGGCTCGCCGGCGCCCTGGATGCCGGTGAAGGTGACGGTGCTGTCGTTACCGTAGATGCCCGTCACTATGGAGCCGCCGCTGGCGAAGGTGGCCTCCTGCTTGAAGGCTGCGCCGGCGGTGGTGGCGGAGTCGTGGGCGTGATAGGGCGTGCCTTCGATCGGTGTGACGACGCCCGTCTTGACGTCGAGGTCGTAGACATCGTGCCACTCTACGTGGACCGACTTCTTTTCGTCGTCGATAACGAGGGGGAGCCAGATGTAGCGGCTCTCCCAAAGGGAGTTGGAATCCCATTGGTCGCCGAGGTAGAGGTACGTGGTGACCTCGGAGCCCTCGATCTTAAGGGAGAAGCCGGACTGGGAGTTGTACGTGCGGGTGTAGGCGTCGGAGATGAAGAAGGGCTGGGACCAGGGACCGGCGAGGGAGTCGGCGCGGAAGGCGACGACGTTGTTGGGACGGTAGCCCGTCTTGTGGGACATGAGTGCGTAGTAGCTCTTGTCGGTCTGAATGATGGTCGGAGCTTCGAGATCGTACTTGTCGAAGCGGTGAATGACCTCGGTCACGTTTGTGACGTCTTCGTTGAAGGCTGAGATGTAGACGTCGCGGCCCTCGCGGCGGTCACCGTTAGAGTAGAGCGAGTAGGAGCGGCCGTCCTTGTAGTCGGTGAAGATGCCAAAGTCCTGGGACCAGTTGCCGAGGGGCGCGGTGGCATCGACAAAAGTGTAGGGACCAGAGATATTTGGGGAGGTGGCCAGGCCTTGGAGGAGGAGGCCGTAGGTTGAGTTGTCTGCATGCCACCACATCTGGATTAAATTAGTCGCGTCATTCACGGAGCTGTGAGTCGAAGGGAACCTACGTGATACTCTTTGGCTGGCTCGCTGTAGACGACCTTGGGACGCTGGATAATCATGTTGGTCGAGATGTACGGGTGACCCTCGATAGGCTCCAGCGCCTTGCCGTGGAACTCCCACGTCGCGAGGTCATCGGAGCTGTAGACGGAGACACCGCCGCCTTCCTCCTGGCCCTCGATCTTGTACTCGCCGAACCAGAAGAACTTGCCCGTGTCCTTGTCGAGTGTGACACCGCCGGCGTGGGCGTTGACGAGATTACCCTCGTTGTCACGCCATCTGCCGCCTGGGACGATCCACTTGGAGGCGGCAAGAGAGGCGAACAGGAGGCCGGACGAGAAGAGCTTTGCGAGCGCCATGATTGGAGAGGACTTTTGCTGGGACGAGAACGGTCTCAAGGTCTCAATCTCTCTGGACTGTCTACGCCATGGAGTTACAATGCGACTCAAGGTATTTATACCGTCTTCATGACTTCAAGAAGTGACCGGCCGAGATGAGCCGGCTGGCATTGGCCCGAAAGCCGAAGCGTCTAAGCCGGGCCATTGAGAGGCGTTGGAAGTCGCGCACGGCCAAGACCCTTCCAAGAACCACAAGAAAGACTTTTGGAGAGGAAGCAGATGATCGGCCAAAGCGGGATTCCAATTGGCAATGGCACGAGATGGGTGCGGACTGCAGAGGAGGAAGAGAGGGGTGGCTGGGCTAAGTAGAGTGCCAAGCTACAGGGCCGGGGGACGAGAATGAAAAAAAACCTGGAGAAATTTCCGCCGTCGAGAACGAGTGAAAGTTGCGTTGGTGCGGGGGAAGCTCCAGAAAGCTTCACGAATCTTGAGAGACTTCATATAACAACCCCAGTCCTCCCCCAGTCCAGAACTTCAGGCTAACCAAGATCGATGGGCGTGCGGGGTTTTAGCTTGTGTACCGTCGCATCCTTCTATCCCGCCGCCTGGAGATTGCGCCTTTTCGGGGATGCTTGTCCGCTGAGCATTGATGTCATCTGAGTGCGGTGAAGGCGAGCTATCCCTGGAGCCTGAGAAGGAATCTTCCGTTGGACCGTTGACCGTTGGTATCACTCTTCTTGTCCTTGGTCCCAGCAGCTTGGCGAGGGTTGCGTTCGGCTCATCTTGACCGGCCGGGTCTGCCATGATACGCGAGGAGGGTTGTGCAGACACGAGATGAACTGTTGGAGCGCGGAGGACATCAGCAAATGACAGATGCGACATTGGTCCACCCAAGCTCATGACAGGAGCATTCTGATGGGTTAATTGGCAGCGAGATCCCGAGAAAGACACGGAGAGAAGTTTGTTTATTGGAGTCACTGGCACCGGACTCTAGGGAAACAAGGGACGATCCGCGCTCGCTAGAACAGTCAGTGACACTCATAATGCTTTGGAGTTTGGACCCTGGGTCTACTGGAGTCCTGGCCAGGGCAAATGGCCGGTGGGTCTCACAGGCCTCTTCCTCACAAGAACATCCCTCGCCGAACCCGTTGCGGGGATCGAGTCTGGACCACGCCGACCTGAGAGATTGATGTTTTCTACCCCTCTGTCAAACATAGTGAAGTCATGAGACTCGAAGTGCTCATCCATCTTTGATCAAGGTCGGAAAAGCACCACAATTACTGGAAAGCTGGTCGATTGACAACGATAGAGCATCTCGGTGCTGTAGTCAAGTCCTGCAACACTGAGGCGAAAACTTTCTGTCATGAGCTTTGGCTACAAACATCTCTGTTCGCAAGTAATGCAAGTGTACTTCATCAGTAACCGCCTTGGAGAGGTCCTTCCGTGGCAGAGTCAATGTTTCTGAGGACGCAGGAGTAAGTTCAAGATGAGATCTCAAGCCGTTGTTAAATGGTCTGGTGGGGCAAGGATGCCTCGTTGAAATCGATGTCTCTACAGCCGAAGAGATGCGAAGTTGGGGCCGCTCGCGGACCATGCAGTGATTGCAAATACTAAGTCTAGATCTTTCTTGTCATCCATGAAGATAGATTTTTCAGGAGAAGCAATAGCAGCAGCAACAGCAGGCCCCAAGCTTTCGGGATGCTATGAATTAATGGCTGTGTTTTGTTATGGTTTGTTTCACTAAGGTTGGTAAACCAACTCTAGAGACTTACAGCTTTGCTGAACATCAAAGGTCCTTGAACTGAACGAATTCGAGACTACGCATAGCTCTTGTCTATAAACTTGCCTTGTGCCGCTACATGTAGGCCCTAGGTAGACCGGAGATGATCTCTTTTTGGGTGGTGAAAGAGCAAGTCTTGGCTGCCCGACTCGTTGAGCCCTCAAGTTATGAGCCATGAAATGACTGTCATTGCTGTCATGATAGGCCACTCTTCAAACGAAACAGACCATCCGTTCGTACAACGACTTTAATAGTGCTCATCGAGAGTTCAAGAGCCGGGCCGAGCGGGAGATCACCATCCTTCACCGACGAGGCTTAACATGATTCTCCGTAAAATTCTCCGGAACCTTGCCCTTACTGGCCCATTGCCGATGACGACTAATGGCGCCATTGCATCAACCCCGGATTTCATTCGACAGACGACCATTGGCCTTGTCGAAAGTATGGGAAGCAATATAGTCCTGGACGACACACTTTCCCGACGTGGACTCGCTCCGTTGCCTCGGAGTTGACCGCAATATCGATCGGCGAAATTGAGGCTCTCATCCGAGACGTCCTATACGCAGAATGGGTGAAATTGAGTTAGTTATATAGCTTACAATGTCTCGATGCCATGATTCTGATACTGGTATGTATTTCCGATTCTGGTCACGAAGCCTACTCTCTACCAGCTCACCATCATGTTGCCTCAATTCTCTCTTCTATTGGCCTTGTGCCCCCTTATGGCGCTGGCGGCTCCCTCAACTCCTGAACTTGACAAGAGAGCAATCACATGTTTGAAGGTCGGCGCAACGGCAACGGCAAAATGGACCAACAGTGCTGGTAAATCATGCACATTCGCCGGTGTAGTCGGAAGCAACTACGGCACCAACCTCGCCGGGTCTGGAGAGTCAGTCTTTTTGGCAATTCCATGCATCTCAACTCCTGCTAATGTAGACATCAGTTACTCCTGTAATGGCCGCTGCGGTGCGGGATGCACTGGAACAGCCGTTGGCAACGTCTACACACAAGATTGCTTCTCTCACGATATTTGCTCATACTTCAATAGCGCCAGTGGCGGTGCTAGGTAAGCAACATAAAATCTCCAAGCGCTACTCACTGGAATTGTTGGTGTGGTTCTAGAATCATGCTAACCTTTTGAAGTGACCCCAATTGTGGCGCCGCGTATAATGCTGCTGTCGACGATACTGCCTTAGGTGCCCTTAATGGCTGTGGACAAACAAACCCTTCAAACGCGGTATCAAAGCCTTCGACGCAACCTGTCTGCAGTTGAAATTTCAAATGAAAGAAGCGGGGGGGTTGAAACGGGTAAAGTTACGGGATGAAGCTTACAGCCAGTCCTTATACTTCATGGCACAGGTTAACCGGTGTTGTAGTACATGTTCACAAAATAATCATATAGTACTAAGCCATTGGAGTAACACCGATTGATTGAAATGTCAAATTTGAAGTTGATTTGTGAAAATATGTAAGTCTGTAAAAGTCCGTGAAAGAGAGTCTAGAAGATGAACACGAAAGAAAGGTCGTACCAAAACCAAAGAAAAATAAGAAGCATTCCCAAAACCTTTTGTTTACGCCTTTTCTCCAAACCCCATTGTAATCCAGGTCTAAGTCTCGCTTAATCAGAAAGAATGTCTATCAGGTCAAATCCAGAACTCTATAGATACCAGCCCACACATCAACTTGGCTTGCTTAATTGATGTAGATGGCGCGGAACTGAGTGTTGACGTGCCATCCGGTGCTGGCCAGGGACGGGTTGCCCTTGTTGTAGCAGGTCTTGGTGACAAAGTTGTACACAACCTTGGTGCATCCCGACCTCAAACGGCACAGAGCAATGCAGGCGAGGTCGCTAGGAATGAAGTACCAGATATCCGTGGCAGGGTTGTTGGTGAAGTCACTGCTGGGGCAGACTTGATAAGTGGTGCCAAAGTAATTGACGGTGTAAGTGGGAGCCAGACACTTGGTGAGAGCAGTGCCGTCAGCGACCTTGACTAGGGTCTGGAAGGGCGCGTTGACGTTCCAGTTGGAGGCGGCGACGCTGGGGCTGCCCTTCAGGTAGCAGATCTGAGTGGTGGGGTTGTAGACGGCCTTGGTGCAGCCAGATTGTGCCTCACAAGCAGTTGCACAATCAACGTTGGACTTGTAGCCGTAGTAGATCTGAGGGCTGGGGATCATGAAGTCGGTGTTGGCGCAGACAGCGTACAGGCCACCAGCAGAGCCAACGACATAGCTCAATGGGCTGGGGCAGGCGGTGATGGGCCCCTTAGAGACCGCTGTGCTGCTGGTTATTGTGGCAGCGGTAGAGGAAGAGGTGGAAGTCTTGATCGTGGAGGCAGATGAGCTGCTGGAGGTAGTCAGGGCTGAAGAGGTGGCAGCGCGCGAGGTGGTAGACGTGGAAAGAGTGGAAGGAGTGACAATCTGAGACGTGGACGAAGTAGTCGATGTCGTAGAAGCGACGGCGGCGTTGCCTTGAGGGCAGGTCCATGTGCCCATATCAGCAGTGTAGGAGTACGAGTATGCGTATTGGATCGTGTAAACATCAGAGCCGGAGGTGTATCCCGTGTTGACGGCATAACTCTTGTCCCAAGTGCGCGAGTACAGTGCACAGATCTGTGCCTGGACGACACCGTTCTTGACAAGCGAGTAGCTGGTGAAGAAGTGGCAGTATAGGCCGTTGAAAGGGTTGGTCTCCTGCCTCTGAGAGGCGCAGTCGGCAGCGCAAAGAGAAGGGTCGTACGCTCCGTCGGTGTGAGCCCTGTAAGTGATATAGCTGTTGCAGTCGTTGGGAGCGTTGATGGTGGCCGCATCAGTGAAAGTCGAGTTGTAGCCAGTGGCGGGGTAGTCGGGTGCTGCAAGCTGGTATCCGTTCGAGCCTGCAATGACAACGTGGAAGCTGTTTCTGTATTCACCGCTGTTGGTAGCAGTGGACGGGCCGATGCCAACACCCCAGAAGCTGCACTTGATGACAGTAGTGCTTGAGGGGTTGGGGCAAGCCGTGCCGGGATCTTGGCTGGGATCTCTCTCGAAGAAGATGTTGAAAGCCGCGCATCCGGTCATTTGTTTGCAATCAGCTGCGCACAGCGCAGGACTGTAAGTGGCATAGGTCTTGTATCCCATGTAAGCCGAGGCGGAGGTCGCAGACTGGAGGTTCTGGAAGGTCTGGTACCATCCGACCGGGGTAACGGCCGCCAAGGCGGCGTTGGACAGGTCCGTGTCGGCGAGGAAAGCCGAATCCGTGTCGGTGGTGGGGACCGGACCGCTGCCAGCGGGAAGGGCACTGCAGTCGCCGCGAACGGCCAGGTTGTTGACGTTCCTCTTCGTGGCTGCAACAGTCTGGTTGCCGACGCCGATGGGAACAGTCTGCACAGTTGAGACTGGGATGCTGGCTAGCTCAGAAAGAGACAACAGCTGAGCTGAGGTGGTTGCCGTCAGGGCGGCGAGAACGGTAAATGAGCGCATCTTGAGAGTTGGAAAGATGAAGCTGTCGTTAATATGAAAATTCAATGATTGCGAAGAAGGAAGAAGGAATGATTGTGAGGAAGGACTGTGATGCTGAGTGAGGAGGAATGAGCTGAATTGGTCGAATGTCTTCAGGGGTTATATACATCTTTCCGCCACGATCACCTCTAGCCAGAGAACCTTGGACTTTGGCTACCCAACACCCAATTCTTTGAGGTATGGAAAAGCCTCATTCATCGTCTGATTCTCACTCTAGCGACCAGAGGCTAACGGCGTCGTTGCAGAATTAGGCGCACATCGCTGTCGGTACTCGGGAAGAAATCTTTGAAATTCGACCACCGACGCTGCGTACCTGACTCTTGGGACTCTGGGCCTCATAACAGAGCAAAAATAGCAACCATGCGTCAAACTGTAGCGCGGGTGTTTCCTCAAAGACTCTTTGTTTGTCCCGAAAAACGGGTGCTGTCTGAGGATTGTCCTTGACAAAGAAGTGGTCTGGTGTGGCTTGAACGTTCACCTGTCGGGCATCGTTGATGCTAAGAAGCCTCTAATCCCTATCCCGCTAGCTCGTCGCGGCCCAGCTCGTATTTCACTCTCCGTTGACCTCCACTGAACCAGTAGTGTCATTGGCACAAAGTCTGCGATCCGAAGGCCGGAAGGCTTGCCTTTTTTTGTCATGGAAGTCATAGATTAATATCAACCACGACTATAAGGTAGATTGATCAAGACTAAGAGCGTGAGGTAGATATTGTGATCGATCGTCTGAGGGAAAGGTGGTCGATAATGCTTCGAAACTATGGAATCCGAATGACACTAAATAAACATATCCGGCTTGACACCGCGTCACAGGCATCGACGTATCGCTTGGGATCCAACGAGATCGAGGCCCGTCGATCTGGCGTGGCACTGACAGCACAGTATCCGAATGCCTGGATCCCCGTCCGGCCCCGTGACCCATCCGGTCTGGTGAAATCGGGCTCTGCTGCCGTATAGTCAGCTCATGACAGGCGGGGCTTCCTTAGACATCGACGGGAACGCCGCTGCACTGGGACATCAAGCTCCTTTCACGCTATTGCAAGCGACTTCGTTGACTAACGATCAGCGATCTGCGCTACTGCAGGAGGGTCTTTGAAGAATCTAGATCTCAGCTGTGACTGCAAAGTCAAAATCTTCCGCTTGTTCTGACCATTCCACTTTGGGAGAATTTGATAGATCGGTCGATAGATCGGTCAAATAATTTGTCCAAGTAGTGCTTTTTTCCCACGTGGTTTATAAATCCCAGATAGCTAGCAACGGCGGGTATGGCCTAGCAGTGCGAGGGGGAACAGACTTGCTGTTTACTTAGCTTGTGGCTGGACTTCTCGATTAATGAACATGAGCTACAGACCTCGTATAGAAGATCAAGCCTCCGGGCAATGAAATTTGGCAGAATTCGGAGTGGCCTAGCATCACCTCGATCATGTGAGCTACTGATACCCTTCGTGGCAGGCACAGAAGGTTTGATGAGCTCAAGCTTCATTACCAGCTTTCAAGCACGTTTGGAAAATAGGTTGGAGCCATGAAGCTTGTGGGACTTAGAACTGCTCGTACTTCAGTCTTCCCATCTGGCATGGTCATTCGCGTTTCGGGGCCTGACATAAAGGAAGTTGGATGGTAAAATTTCAATCACACGGCTATTAAGCGTATGTGCGGAATATTGGGCATGGAGTTTTTTTTTTTTAATTATTATGGCTCTAACAGTTGTTCTTTCCAGTGCGGAAACAGAAGATATTGATAATTCCGTCCGACTGCTCGCAACAAGTTGCGCCCAAGTCTGGCGCTGATCCTCCAAAGCAGTTGGGCTTGCAGTTGGCGCAAATGTTTTGACACTGTAAAGAACACCCAAAGTCAGTATATGTCCAACAGGGAAAGAACTTAGAAACGTACGCTTGTCTTGGTTCCCTTATCAGCGGGACAGCTGCCATCGGCAGGAGCGCCAGCGCAGAAGATGAATGCGGCAGAAGCGGGAAGGGCAAATTGAAGCAGCGCCGCGATAGCGAGGGTAGGATGGAACAACATGGTGGCTAGGTAAATGGGGTATCTGTGGAACTAGAAAATGGACGGAAGCAGGAGGTTGACTTGTGTTTCGAGGAAGCTCTACTACTCGATAAATTATCAGAAGGATGATCAGTCATCTGCAGAGGAGCAAGCTGCCATGTATATATAGTAAATCTTTCGCCCTTATCATCAAGTCTCTTTGTTCGGGATATAGTATCAATCAACCTGAATTTCGCATTCCGTGGATCGCGAACTCCATCCGCACGACCTGGTTCGTCCGGAACCAGTTGAAATGACTTGGCTTAAGTGACCGACCAAGGGTGGCCTCGTCAAAGCTGTAACTCGTCCGATACACACATTACTCGCCATTCGACTGTTTCGTAGGGGCAGAGGGGAACTCCGTCAGATGAGGATCCTCGAGAGGTCTCCGTATGAACCGTGCACCAGAGCATGATCCAATCCCCAAGGTTGGTAAACTTTCTGAGTTGCGGAGGTTGTGGGCTATTTTCTCCTTGGATTAATATATTTTGACTTCCGCCTACCGTGCCTCATTCGGGCTGTGTCACTCTGCCGTACTCAGTCTCCTGTGATAAGCTGCCGTAGCAGCCAAGCTGAGACAAGTTGACGGCGGTCCCTCCGAACTTGCGAATATAAATGTCAATTTTGGGTAGCCGTGACCCCGGCCTCCCATGACGCTTACACAACATAGTCGAATGGCCGAGACACGATGCGCCCATCTCGACTGCGAATGCCAAAGTGCGGATGTAGACTGAAGTTTTGCTTGTTGTTGCCTGGCCCAGGGCTGGAATCATTGACTAGACCCAAGTGCCTCCAGGCCGCTAAGCGCAGAGACCTATATAGCCCTGCCGCCATTCAAGTAAAGTTGGGACTTGTATCCTAGTTCATCAACTGTTAGATATCACTACGATATGAATACGTGATTCGTGGATAATAACGAATTATGTTGATACGACCCTATAAAACTTTTATCCACGTATGAATAAGTCGAAATGAAATGGAGCAAAAGTGAAGAAAGAATGGAAACGCATTTACTGGCGACATCTAGCAGTTGATGGGATGGGAGTCTCCGCGGTTTCAGATATTAGAACCACGATATGTAGGCACTTACCAGTCAGAAACAAGGATTAGGTGTTTATCGTCTCCGATTGGGCCAATGACTTTTGTAGCCGAGTAGCGTTGTTACTTTGAATCACCTCATCAACCATGGCGTTATCAAGTCCACGAGAACCTTCCTGGAGAATTTTCAGCTATTGCGCCTCTTTTTGATTAAACTACAAGCTTCTATTGGTATCTGCTGGAATCTGCTTGGAGAATCATCTTGAACAATTCGATGTCGTTCCTGGCATCTGCTGCACTCGTCTTGGGAGCCTTGCTATTGACGACGCAATCGTACAACTCAAGGAACTCATTGGTGTACGGATCTTGGTACGTCTTCCTGACTTTGCGCTCTTGAAAGCCATCGTTCCCGATAAGTTCTCTGATAGTCATCGTGACTGGCAGACCCTTGACATATGGCGTGTCGAAATCAACGCGGACAATCTTCTCGGGAGAGTACACCTCGATGTGTGCGTCGAACTGCGGAACTTTGCTGAAGCCGGACTCGTAGGTGACGGGGAAGTCATCGTACTTGAAGAGGACACTGAAAATGCCGGGGAAGGTAAGACAAGCTCCCGCAACACTCTTCGGCATACCGATAATCTCTCTCATGGCAGATAGATCGTGTGTTCCGAGTCTAGTACTTTGTTAGCAGCGAGCCTTACTTTCATTGACACAACGCCAACATACCCTCCGAGAAGTCGCAGCATCAGTTGAGAATCAGGGTTTACGGGGACTCCAAACTCCTTGGCAAGAGCCTGTTCAGAGATGTCCGACTCCCGCTTCAATCTGTCTTTGGTGTCTGCATCGCTGTAGTCGCTGAATTTCAACGGGAACGTGCCGGACTGATCGACGAATGTTGAGTTGGGTCCGATGATGTCTCTAACTCTTGCGTACTGAATCTTCTCCATGCCACCAACTTCCTTGACTGCGTCGGTGAAAGCAGTGGCGAAACGCCGCATGGTACCAACCATGACCTTCCCCTTGGACTTCTTCTCGGCTTCAATCAAGATGTCCAGGTCCCGGAAACAAACAGAGGCCGGCTTCTCAATCAGGGTGTACTTGTCGCTCTTGAGCGCCAGAAGGCCGTGCTCGACGTGGTAAGCATCAGCGTTGGCAATGACCACCACATCCACATCGGGAGAAGAGCAGAGTTCGGCTGCATCAGCGGTCGTCTTGGGCGGTCCACCCTGCACTTTTCGGGCGCAGTGCTCGAGAGCTTGTTGTGAAATGTCGCATAGGTACGTGGTTTGATAGCGATGAGAGAGGAAGTTTAGATTGGGAATGTGTGCCACCTGGGTGATCTCGCCGCAACCGATGATGCCAACCCTGAGGATCGGCGTTTGCTGCTGGGAGGCCATGTCCGAAGACGTCGTTATTGATGTAGGTGCAACGGTGTTGGGAGCCTCTCGATCTATATAGGCTGCAGATGAATCGGGACTTGAAACTTGAATGATTTTCGACAACTTTGTTGTCTCAGATATGCCTGCTCTTGCGATATTGAAAGGCGGTCGTGACGGCTTTTGTAATCTTCTTGAGCTCCTGTGGATACGGCTCCAGCAATGTCGTCAGCTTGGGCTGGATTGTTGAGCTCCAAATATCATTGGACACGTGAAGATGGATTTGAGACCACTTTTGCATTGGTAGCTTTATCCAATGATGTTTCGATAGAATTGGAGAAGTCACTGTCTCTCAAGATGGACGAGCTCCGATACTCCCCGAGACCGTTTAGACCAGACTAATTGCCCGCGGAGTATCGGAGTAATACCAAAATTGTTAGTGCTATGTCTAAGGTCACCTAGTTCGGTCAAGGACGCGTCCCATAATGTTGGGCGCCGCGACGGTGCATTCTTCCCCGCACACTTCCCTGGTCTCCGACTCCCCGAGAATGTCCATCCCGAGTTCCGGTCACACTTTTACCCCATGGGATCCCATGGGGATGGACCGGGGTCATGAAGCCGTGCAGAGCTACCGAGAATCTGGTCTGATCTGGACTCTAGGCGGTGGCTGGAAAACCTGGAGTTGGTTGCATTGTCGGCGGCTCTTCCAAGATAGATAAATAGCATGATACCTCCTTGTGTTCTCAGGTTTGGGTTGATGCTTCAATCAGGAGCCTGCAACACCTCTGCCAGCAATCCGACGGCGACAACCTCAAAGATCACGCAGAAATTTCTACCTTCAGGATGGGCTCATTCTCGAAGAAAAAGGGAGCGGAGCTAGCCGTGGGGTCGGCTCTTGCAGCTGTGCGTAAATCTTTTGAGGAACGTTGAAGTTGAGAAATCATTGACACAAAGCACGCAGGTTCTACCCGCAAATCCCAAGCCGTGGTACTTGACGCCTCATTTACTCAAATTAAATCTGCTACTACTGGTGCCTTTGTTCTCTTCTGCATCTGTAGGCTACGATGGTATGAAATCTCGACACAACTTGTTGATGCTCTCAAACTGACTAGACAAAGGCTCGATGATGAACGGTTTGCAAACCCTTCCCCAATGGCGCCAATTTTTCGGGAATCCCGAGGGTGCTGTTCTCGGTCTCATGAATGCTGTATATCCTCTCGGCAAAGTTGTAGCACTCTTCGTCGTAACCTACATCTCGGACAGATATGGGCGGAAGCTCCCTCTGGTTCTAGGCTTAGTGGCTTGCATTGGATTTGCCATCTTGCAGGGCATGTCTAAAGACCTTCCTAGCTTTGTCATAGCAAGAGCTTTGCTGGGTTTTTTCACGACTTTCATCAGCCAGCCAAGCCCCATTCTGATTACTGAGTTGGCGTACCCTACCCACCGCGGCCGAATCACAGCTTTGTACAACACCTTCTTCGTACGTTAAATCATCGAGAAGAACCCTGCGAAGTTGCCAATCCACTAACGACCGTTCTGTGCAGTACTTTGGATCCATTTTTGCTGCATGGTGCACCTTTGGAACCTTTAAGATTGCGTCCACATGGAGCTGGCGAATTCCGTCCATACTGCAAGGGGCAGTTCCCATCATCCAACTCATGGGTGTTTACTTCTTACCTGAGTCCCCTCGGTATGCTTTGTGACTCCTATATCAAGTGTACATATGATAGACTTGCTAACCTGTCCCTGTAGCTGGCTGATGCGCCGTGGTCGGAAGGACGAAGCCAGAAAGGTATTCGCCGACTGCCACGCTGGCGGCAACCTCAATGACCCTCTAGTCGACTTTGAGATGCGCGAAGTTGAATTTACTCTGGGAGAGGAGGCCGAAGCCATGTCCCAGTCATCTTGGCTCGAACTTGTGCGAACCCCTGCCAACCGAAAGCGAACACTCATCGCCTGTATTGTTGGCTTCAGCTCCCAGTGGAATGGGGTCGCAGTGGTCAGCTACTACTTGAGTCTCGTGCTCAACACTATCGGCATCACCGAAGTCAAGGACCAGACTTTGATCAATGGAATGCTGCAAATCTTCAACTGGATCATTTCAACCTTCCTCGGAGCGCTCATGGTAGACCGGCTGGGTCGACGACCACTATTCTTGATCTCCACGGCAGGCATGCTTGCGAGTTATATCGCTTGGACCGGGTTGACGTCTCACTTCGTTGCCAGCCATAACGAAGCGACTGGAAGAGCAGTTGTAGCCTTCATTTTCATCTTCTACTTCTTCTACGACATTGCTTGGACGCCGCTCCTGCAAGCCTACCCTGTGGAGATTTTCCCATACACCCTTCGTGGTCGCGGCTTGTCGGTCACATACATCACTGCCTTCACTGGTCTGATCATCGGCAATCAGGTCAATCCGATTGCAATGAAGGCAATCGCATGGAAGTACTACATAGTCTTCTGCTGTATTCTCGGAGTGTTATTTGTTGTGATCTGGTTCCTTTTCCCAGAAACCAAGGGTCACACACTGGAGGAAATCCGTGAGGTCTTCGAGGGCAGGTCTGCGAATGCCAAGGTCGAAGATGTCGAGGGCGGCGAGGAGGAAGAGACTAAAAAGGGTGGCAAGATCAAACAGGTTGAGCTGGCATAAGTAGCAACCGACATCTCATGATCTCCATCGGGCGCACGTATTTCCCAGGCTACAAGTTAAATCAGGAAGTTCCCAAAGGAGATTACAGACAGTCCGGCTATAATGAAATGCAATTTAACTACAGGTCAACGAGCTCGAGTTTTCTTTATAAACCGTGACTTATGTTCACAGTCAAAGACATTGGCCTATTTGCCAGCCGCAGCTCAAGGCGTACTTGCATCGGCGGTGTATCGGCGGCGTGGCAAAACTCGATGAGCCTGGAGGCAAGGATGCGAGAAAGGAAAGAAAGGATAGTTTGACCAGGCGACAGCTAGAAACATCGTCCCGCATTCCACACTATCGCAAAAGGCGAGGGCGGAGGAGTTCCACATTAGAAAGGCCTCGTACAGCAGAAGCTGGAAGTAATGCCAGATGAGGCAAGTGTGTCAACCTATGATGATCCAAAGCCAGCTTAGTATGCACGCCAACTCCGCCAACTCCGCTTCTACAAACCCTTCTCGGGTGAGGTCAGGAAGCCGGGGACTGTCTTCTTCGGCATCCGAAAGCTTTCTTTATTGAGTTAAATGTAGATGATCGAGTCTGATAGGAGAACTAAGACTTTGCTCACACCTCCCGAAGCCATGTCTTCTCCAGTGCAAGAACACGAACTGCGTTCTGCGAAGCCAGGTCTCTCAGAGCAACCGTTGCAAGACGGCAATGCGACCCAACAAGAGCCCCATCAGCACCATGTAGTGGACGTTGAGCATCGGAACTCTGCGTGGGTCTGTGTCCTCGGATCCTTCCTATTTCTCATGCCTTCTTTCGGTGAGCACATCCGCTTTCCGGGGCACCACCAACGTCTTTTGGAAATGCATGGAGATTGGTACTAATGGCCAATCTCCCAGGTTTTATGCAATCTTCGGGGGCAATACAGTCATTTCTCTTAGAGAATCAATTGAGAGACTATTCCGCCCGAGATGTTGGTTGGATTACAGGGGTTTCCAGCTTTCTTACGATGCTTCTCGGTATTCAGGCAGGACCACTGATGGATGTTTACGGGCCAGGGCTGCTAGGGCCAATTGCAGCTGGTCTACTCGTTCTAATGTTCTTCCTACTCGCCGAATGCGCAAAATTCTGGCATTTCATACTCTGCTTAGGCGTCCTGGGAGGTATCGGTAATGCTATTGCTACAACTGTAGGCATTGCTGTGATTGGGAAACTCTTCAATCGTCGCAAGGGGCTAGCACTCGGTATCGCCCTGTCTGGCTCCTCTACTGGCGGGATCATATTTCCATTGGCTCTTCGACAGATGTTCCCCATGTGGGGATGGAAGTGGTCGATGAGAGTCATGGGAGTTTTAGCTACCCTTATCATGATCTTAGGCATTGTTTGCCTCCTTCCTTTCGAGAGACTGAATGCCATAGTAGCGAACGAGGGAATCGCTACTGAAAGGAGTAGAAAGAAGGCTGTGATGGACTTCTCTGCTTTCAGGTCGGTACCTTTCTCGCTAATCTGCGGCGCTATAGCGCTTCTCGAGTTCGTCATCTTTGGTGCTACGGCAATACTTCCAACCTTGGTGGCTTTGTCGGAGTTCTCAATGGAACATGGCTTCAACATGCTAGCTATCCTCAACGGATTTTCGTCTCTTGGACGTATTTTTCCAGGGCTGGTAGGGGATCGCCTTGTACATTACAATATCCTCCTAGTCATGATCGTTTTCACAATTGCCTGCACTGCCGCATCGCTCACTGCATTTGGATCGACCCGGATCGACGCCTTATATGCTTTCTCAGCTCTATGGGGCTTCGGAACCGGATCGTTCTTGTCACTTGCGCCTGGTAAGTTCATGTTGGTGGCTACTTGGACAAGTTGTTCTAGGCTATCAGCAACTGACCGTGGATACCAGCCTGCGTGGCTAAAACTTGTGAGCCGAAAGATTATGGAAGATACTATGGTACGTTGTGTTCTCTTCGTGACCATGCTTGGGGTTGTCTGACAGGCCTAGGGACGATGAACTTCGTCATCAGCTTCTCACTTCTTTTGACGATGCCTATTGGCGGTCAGATGCTAGAATCTCTTGGATCTACTGCCTTATCAGGACTCTATCTTGCGGTTGTATTTGCCGGAGGTACACTAGTCTATGTAGGACGCTCCGTTGTAGTGGGCTCTTGGGCCAATGTCCGAGAAAGGATATAGATGTGGGAGGTATTTCGTTATGTATCGCATTCTGAGATTGGGGCAGCGAGAGGTGGGTAGTCAAGCCCAACTCGTTGAGAATATTCATCGTGTTTCAACGTTAGAGTCTATACGGATACAAATTTACGTACACATCAATCCCATGACGGCCACCTAAAAGATATTGAGTATTTCAAAGTTTTCTCTTTTTGTTTTTGCTATCTAAGATTTCCTTTTACCTCTTCACATAACCATTTTACTGCTCATCTTGAGGGAACTTGGCACCACCTTGTCTCCTAATCTCATCCAAAATCTCCATGACACGGACAGTCTCGGCCCAGGGCATGATCTCGCTTTCTGTGCGTCCAGCAGCAATGTCCAGTGCCACCGCGTCCGCCTCCCAGTAAAAGCCCTTGCCTGGCCGCTCAAAGTCGTACTTCTTTGACTTCAGACCCTCCGTCGTGGAGTCGACCCATCCCTCGCCAGAAGCCTTGGAGGAGTGAACGGTAAAAGAGCCGGGAACTGAAGTCGCGATGCCTTCGACAATGACGTATCCATCGCTTCCCTCAATCCTGCAGAATCCAGGTGGTGTCTTCACTTGTGTCGAAGCTGTCAGGATGCCTTGCTTGCCGCTGGGGTAGAGAAGAAGAGCTGATGTTGCGATATCGATATCGTCTGAAAGTGTTTGCGTCGCAGAGATCTTGGGCGTTACAGCTTTATCTCCGACACCGGGGTCCAAACCAAGGATCGTAAAGGTCAAGCTGTACACGCCAATATCGAGAAGACTTCCCGCGCCGAGAGCCGGGTTCTTCAGGCGCGAGTCTGGACCCAGAGATGCGAGGTTCATGTTCATGGCAAAGTCGCAGAAAACGCGATGGATATCCCCAATCAGCTTTTCCGAATGCAAGACGTTTAGCAGAGACCTCGTGAGGGGGAAGAAACGAGTCCACATGGCCTCCATGACGAAAACGCCCTTCTTCTTCGCGGCCTCAAACACCTCCCGCGCCTCCTTGGCTGTGATGGCGAAGGCCTTTTCGCAGAGAACATGCTTGCCCGCGTTAATGGCGTCAAGGCAGTTTTGCTTGTGGAATGCGTGTGGTGTGCCGATATAGATGACGTCGACGCTGGGATCGTTGTAGACCTCCGCATAGCTACCGTACACTGTCGGTGTCTTTCCTGGAAGGTGCTTCTCAACAAATGCCATGCCCTTCTCAAGCGACGATGATCCGACGGACTGAACAATGTGCTTGGCCCTGGCATTCGAGCGCTCAAGTACTAGATCCTCGACGAACCATGAGGAGATGAGGCCGGTGGCGATGATGCCCCAGCGAAGGGTTGGGATCTCGGAAGACATGGTTGAGACGGCGATAAAGTTTTCAACGCTGATAGCTGCTGTCAAGGCTTGTATGAAAGAGAGGAGTATGGACAGCAGTCGAGGGGTCACTCGATGTATTTATGAAATCTGGAGGCTGATAAATCACTCATGGCAATGACGTGGAATCGCGGGCTGCCCCAGCCATGAAGAAACAGATGCGTTAGAATCCGCCCTAGAGATGAAGACACCATTGAGCAAGCCGTTCTACCAATCCTGCACCAGGAAACACTTACGAGGCCACAGACTCGACTCCACAAGTTGTCACGATGTTGATGCAGTGGGGGGAGTGGAGAATGGGACACGAACAGCTTGTCCGACACTCCCCGGCTGACACTGGCTTTTGGGAGGGTTTATCTCCGCATTCCGGCCGGTTCACCTCGGGGCTCATGCACAACAAGCGCTGGTCAAAGGCCGCTGTTTTTGTAACCACTTGGTCGGGAAAGGGATTCTGCGGTTTGACCAACATTCGCTGGGCAATCTGTAAGTGTAGTCAAAGAGGCTAAATCAAATCGGTGATTTCTATTGTAAATTCTCTGTATCTCAAAAAAAAAAAAAAAAAAAAAAAACACACACTTCAAGTCTTGACAATAGCTCGATTGCTTCACGTGGCTGCGACAACACAGTCGTAAAAACGAGTAGAAGGAACCCATCAACCGGCTTTTGACCTTCGTCGCCGTCTTCGTACAGCCTAATACCTCGCCCGGTCGGGCCAATTGAATCGGGACTCGGCACGCATTTCAGAACTTCAAATCTGATAAGTTAAGTCATTCTGGGTTCGTTAGGGACAGGAGTTTTTGAATCTTGAGATGTCAAATTCTCTGAGCACTCTGACATAGCATCCTGAAGCATTTCTCTTCTGTCATGGCCCACCTCAAGGGCCGATGTTACGTTGAGGATGCTGGCAAAACCTCCTGCCATTTTCGACCTCTCAACCCTGGTCGAATACGAGTTTTAACTGCTAGATCAGAGCATTCATATCTTGTCCATCCCGGCAATACACATGAATACGGGCTTCTAGCCAAGGTTGATATGGGGGATTTGCAGAGATGCATATGCCCCTGGGCTCCCGGGTTTCTTGGCTATCTCGCATCAATTGACAGCCTTAAAGGGACCATAACACCACATGCAGTGATCATTTCTGTTGAACTCGTTCCTATCCTGAGCTGCTGCAATTCTGAAAATGTTGTGGCGCAAGGTCCTTGCATTCGCGCCTTTGGCTGCCTTCGCTGGCGCCCATCCCAACGCTCACGGCATCCGATACTCAAAGCGGGATTCAACACTCGAGATAATCCTCCGCCCCGAGGTGTCTGAATCTGGCGCCGTAGTTTCCGCCACCATCAAGAACACCGGCAGCTTGGACCTCAACCTGCTCAAGGTTGGCACCATCTTGGACGACAAGCTTCCTGTCCAACGTGTGTCCGTCGTTGACGAGTCAGGTCAGTAGCGCCACGGTGACGAAATTTGCCCGTAGCTCACGCGCCAACAGGGAACGCGGTCTCTTTTAGGGGAATTGAGCCGAGTATTCAGTACGATGCCCTGAAGCCGAGGCATTTTGAGTCGCTTCCAGCTGGGAGTTCAGTGACAGTCTCGATCGATCCAGCAAAGGTTCATCAGTTTACACAGTCCGGCACTTACTCCGTCACTGCTGAAGGCATAATCCCCATTGCTTTAGCTCCGTCTACGGACTTTTCTCAGCCTGCCGTTGCTTTCAAGTCAAATACCATCCAGGTCGGCGTGGATGCAGACGCTGCTGCAAAGTCTTTGGTAACTGCGGCACTCAAGGAGCGCACCAACTTACAGCCAGGATGCAACGCGACAACGTTGGACGCCAGCACCAAAGCCCTGGCCAACTGTCAGGTTCTCGCCCTCGCTGCGGCAGCGGACGCAGCTGACCCGTCTTCTAAGCGATTTGTCGAGTATTTCGGCACCAACTCATCAGAAACCCGCAACATCGTCGTCACCCGGTTACAGAATGTCGCGCAGGAGTGTAGCTCAACCACTTCGGGAGTGTCTCGGTACTTCTGCTATGATTACTACGGCGTTTGCGAGCTCGACGGTCCTCTCAACGCTTACACGGCCTGGGATGTCAACACAATGGTCATGTGTCCGCTCTTCTTCGGCCTGCCGCCGCTGCCTGTAGGATGTCACCGACAGTGTCAAGCTACGACTACGATCCACGAAACCACACACTGCGAAGCAGTTTATGCACCTCACACGGACGACTACGCTTATGCTTACAACGCCAGCGTTGCGTTGACCCCTGAACGGGCTCTGCAAAATGCTGATAACTATTCACTTTACGCCAACGGTATGCTCCCTCAATTCTTTTCAGTCTGATTGTGCGGGAGGACGAGGACTAATCTTTAGCCATGATTAGCTGTTTATATGGGCTGTTGAGGTCGAAACATGCCTGGACAGTAAGACGGGGCGAGATAAACTCATCTCCCACTGCATGGGCAAGCTAGACTACAGGCCGGGGCAGAGATGACCTTTTCAACGACCGAACTATTGTCCATGAGATCGGCCTACCGCCCACGTGCTACCATTAAGGTTGATGTATTAGGAACCAGAGATTGTCGGCCACCTCCGATGATTATCACCAGCAACATCTTCTCTCAAGCCAATGACATGAAGCCCATCTTCCCCGCCTCTGTCTCTGCCATTTTTTCTTATCGCCTGTATCGCCCCGCATACTTTAGCTACTAAAGCGCCCGAATTATCCTCTTGGTCTCATAAAATTATCTGTTGACTTTGAGGACGGACTTGATTTCCTCTGACTCGACGTCTTTATTTTTCTGCTCAATGCCAATGCGAAATTGTTCGCTAATTAGCCCACAATGACTACCACAGCTCTTACATCTGACCCGGAGACGACCACCCTGCGTTTCGCGTCCGGAAACGGACCGGTAACCCGCCGCATCCTTCGGACTCCGCTCCGCGATGCCCTTCCTACCGAGATCCCAGTCATCGACGTCTCGCTCGCATTTAGCACCGAACTTACAGACCGAAAAACTGTAGCACAGCAGATCCGTAACGCTGCCACAACATCCGGCTTCTTCTACTTGACCAACCATGGCATTGCGTTTTCGGTCACCGTATCAGCTCATATAGCCTGCCTAGAATACTTCCGTCAGGATGAAGGGACCAAAATGCACTCATGGGTTGGGAAGAGTCGCTACTTCAATGGTTACAAGCCGCCCGGATCTCAGCGGATCAATAAATCAGAGAGCGTCGACGTCCGCGAGTCATTCAGTTGGACGTACGACCCTCGCCACGACCCCGATGTGGCCGACGTCGATGTTATTCCCGAGGAGGCGAGAAAGCTTTTACGGATTGAGGACTTTCACTGGGATGGCACGGCCAACCAGCCGCACTTCAAAGCAGCCATCATTCAGTACTGGCAATCCTGCCTGAAGCTCGCTCGCGTCCTCGTTCGCTCCTTTGCGCTATCGCTTGATCTTCCCGAGGATCACTTTGATGCAAAGTTCGCGTACCCTGATGCTGCGCTGGCGCTTAACTACTACCCACCTCTGAGTTCCTCGGCCGCCGTTGATTCAGACACCAACAAAACAGTTTCCATAGGATCGCACACGGACTTTCAGCTCTTCACCATTCTGTGGCAAGACACGGTCGGGGGCCTGCAGGTGTTGAACCGCCAGGGGCAATGGATCAAGGCTGCACCCATCCCTGGAACGTTTGTCGTCAACATTGCCGACTACTTGCAGCGCATCACAAATGACCTCTACGTCAGCACAGTACATCGGGCCCAGAACTTGAGTGGAGAGGAACGCATCAGTATGCCCTTCTTCTTTGGCTTTGGCCTGCATGAAAGCTGCGGTGTCATCGACACCTGCGTCAAGGAAGGGGAGAGGCCAAAGTACGAAGAGATCGGCTGCGAAGCTTGGGTCCAACGAAGAGCTCGGGCGATGCACAAAGTGGAATCTGATGACGAAAACGACAGTTCTCAGTGAGCAAACAAAGCCTTGACGGGGTTTCAAATTACCGTTTGCTTTGATAATCTCTTCGTTTGCTTCTCTCCATTTTAATTAACAGCAGGGGCTTATCGAGGTCGGAAGTTTGGAACCCCTTTGTGGCTAAGCTTTAAATACTATTCATACCGGGACAAACAAAATTTAACAGATAAAGATACTGATAACCCCTTACGTCAACAAACGATTTCCAGGTGCAACACGCACATAGGTGACCTTACTCTGCATTCTCCAGAGCTATGGATCGGCTCAAAGTCTCGGTTCCTAGCGAACAATTGACTGGGAATTCGGCAGGAGATCTTACACCTGGCAGCAATAACTCAACGATGGAGCCAGATATTGACAGCTCACGATCCTCACAAACTGAGCCAACTAAATCGGCTAAGGCATATCGTTTCAGTTCAATTCTTCACAATTCCATCAAGTCTGTACAGCGACTACGCCTTCGAAAGCCATCACTCCTACGAGGGCTGCTCTTATTGGGAGCTACATCAACTATTGCATCTTCTGTACTCATGTAGGCTCTCAGTGATACTTAGTATTTCACCACTTCTCTAAGGAAGATTACTCATTATTTTCTAGCACTCTATTATACGTCTTCATCTTTGTCCTACAGCCTCAAGCTCTGAAAGACGCAGCCTCCCAAAGCTTCATCTCCAACAACCCCATCTTGACGGATGGCCAGCCGGTCGACGGCTTATCGAGATGGCTGGAGGATTTCTCGCGTTCAGTCATTCCAATCATGTGTCACTCTCACAACGATTACTGGAGGCCTTACCCCCTTTACTCGGCTCTTGCAGCGGGCTGTACCGGGGTGGAAGCAGACATTTGGTTGAGTGATGATGGATCCGACCTGCTTATTGGCCACGATGAACATGAATTGTCGCCCACGAATACTTTGCGATCCATGTATCTTGATCCTTTGTTGAACATTCTCAACACCATGAATCCTCCGGAGCAATGGTCGAACTTCAGCCGGGTAGATCGCCCGCAGGGAATTTTCAGGAGTCAACCGAATATCACGGTAGTTCTGCTCCTGGATATCAAGAGTGATCCGTATAAGACGTGGCCAGTGGTGATGGAGCAGCTTGGACCCCTTCGAGAAAAGCTCTTCCTCACACGCTTCGAGGTAGTAAATACCGAGCCAGGTTTCAGGCTGAGGCAAGATATGTGGCCAGGCCCTGTGACCATCGTGGGTACTGGCAATCTCATGGATGATCGCATGATAAATCAGTGGCCAACGAATGAGCTGTACCAGCAGTATCATGACGCCTTCCTCGACGCGCCGTTGGAGCAACTTCCCGATGATAACTGGCGCAAGTACGAGGATTATGGGTACTTTGCCTCCCAATCGTGGCATGAGCAAGACACCTTTTACGCATCCGTGTCTTTTGAGAAGAGTATCGGATCGGTCCGCACTGGCTTCAGCAGCAAGCAACTTGCGAAGTTGAGGAGGCAGATCAGTACTGCAAAGTGGTCAGGTCTCAAGTCGCGGTATTGGGACCTGCCCAGTTGGCCAATCTCACACCGTGATTACGTCTGGGAGGTGTTGACAAGGGAGGGAGTTGACATGTTGAATGTCGATGACCTGCAGAGCGCAGCAAGAAGAGGATGGACGAAGGGTTACGTGCAAAGCGTGATATGGATAGCTTTGACTTCGACTGTCATCTTCCTGACGGGTCTTGCGATGACGTGGTGCGGATTCACAGCTATCAAAAGGCATATGAAGGGTCTTCAATCTCAGAGTATTGTGCTGGCATAGGCTATAATAGGATCTTTAATGAAAAATGTTGGACTAATTATCTCCTGTCTGATTCACCCTTTACTTGAATACTGATATTATCGGAAATACCGGATAGTTCGGGTTGCAATTCGCCAATCCACTAGTCAAGCACTTTCATCCTACGTATCAAGAATGATGCTTATACCGCCACGAGGACGTCAGGACCAGGCACCGCAGATGCTGCCACTTGGGAACCCATGCCTCCCGGACAGCACGTATCTCCGCGGATGTGGTCCATGCAACTTGCCCATCGACTTTGAGATGCACTACAGAAAAGATCTACAGGTGGCCCGATTTTCTGCCTTCCAGCCTGTTTTAGTCTTCCGTCATTGGCGAAGAACCTGTATCTGCGTTTATCATTCGTACTACGTAGCGGGAGATCAGGTCCTGTGAAACACCACCCCAGGGATAAGCCACGCGGCTTAGAGTTTGTATTCACGTAGGTTGGGTTGGCTCTCAAATCACAGAACATGCTTATTGGCGTTGGTCGAACAGAGTTTCGGCTTTAACCTCCTCCATGAATTGCGAGGACCTCGATTTCGCCATGCTCGACCACGGGCCTTTGAGCATCAATGTGACGCACGAGTCAAGTGTTCCATTTGACTTCGAGCAGGATTTGAGGGGAAAGACATGCCCAGCTTAACAGGAACATATATGTTCGTGTGACCCACGTGGCGGGCGCATGTAGATTCTGCCCAAAGGTATCTGCCTGACCGACGCCCTTCTTCTTTCAAGAAGTCAGATTGTCATGTCAGCCGCGGCACAACGGGGGACGCTGGCACCACTTCCGGAATATCACCGCCGTGGACTGATTGTACTCACCATTTTCTCATTCCTCTCCGCCATTGCCACAACTGCTCTGTGGCTCTTCATCACATATAAGCTATTGGCGTATCGGAAAACCCGGCCGGCTCCGAGGCAACGAAGTACACGACCACAAGATGCCGATAGTAACGATCTACCGGATCTCTCTTTGGGGTTGGATGCCCCTTGCGCAGGAACCACCGGATTCGCCCGACTGGAGGAACTTGATAGACTAGCCGCGTCACAAGAGCAAGCGGGAGAGGTTGCAAGTGCCACTGGGGATCGGGACGAGCAGGAGGTTGAAGAAGCCCGCAATCCTTTCCCCATTCTCATCTATAATCTCTTACTGGCAGATATGATGGAAGCTGTTGCCTACGCGCTCAGTATATCCTGGGTCTCAGCTGACGGCATCTTTGCACCTTCGTCAGTCTGCTGGGCGCAGGGTTGGCTGGGCTCGACCAGTAACTTAGCAGCGAGCCTATTCCTAGCGGTTATTTCGATCAACACGTTTTTGACAGTAGGCTTGGGCTACAAGCCACCGCCGTGGACAATCTATACCTCGATAGGGGTTCTCTGGATATTCGACTTTGGAATCAATGGCGCAGGAGTAATATTTTCGGAGATCCACCCAGCAGTTCCTCAAGAGTCTTTCTTCATGCGGGCCAATGTCTGGTAATCAAAGAACAATCTCTTGTTTTGACTTTGGATGCTTTTCGGCATCCTGTAGCTCCCATGCTAACTTGAGATCTTCTTAGGTGTTGGATTTCTACATCGTACGATTCGTGGCGGTTTTGGGCTCACTATTTCTGGGTCATTGTCTCCATCGCCATTACACTTAGCCTCTATTCCTTCGTCTTCTTTACTCTTTGGCGTCAAAAACGCAGTTGTCGTCACTTACCGGAAAAGAGAGCGTCACAAAGCGAAGCCTCCGAATCAGGATTCGAGACCGGTCATGGATCGGAAGTTCGACGACCTTCAGGCTATCACCCAGCCTTTCTTGCGTACCCGTTCGTATATGTCGCTTGCAGCGTGCCTCTAATAATCGGCCGTATTACTTCTCTGCTGGGTGTCGATCTTGGTATATCATATTTCGCCTTTGCGGGATCCATCTTGGCTGCGAATGGACTCTTTAACTCAATATTATGGACCACAACAATTATGTTCAGCGAGCCACAAGACGCACACAACACGGGCTTGGAACAGTTCGCCTTCGTCAGAACCCCGATACGAGATTATGGACACACTGTCGTCATCAGCGGTCCTGCAAGTCGAAGAGTGCCTGAGCCAAGTATTGTCCCTGGCGGCGGTCGCAAGGAATGGTGGTGGTGGAAACATGGCGGGCAGAGAGGCTGGGGGAGATCCTATGCCAACATGCATGGAACGCCCAGAGTAAGCGCAGTCGAGGTGCACGATCATACATTACCAGTCATTGTGGAAGGTCCCTATATTCAGATGGACATTGTCACAGCTGTTACCGTTGAGCAAGCGGAGATTCAGCCGATACCCCCGGGCAGGCCTCTAGACACCTACCCAGCAAAATAGCGTTCTGCTCTATACGTTTTCCTAATTGAGGAGAGTTGAAACCACGTATATTGTTGTATCAACCACACAAACTGATACGAGTAGCAAGAAGCCGATTTATGGATCCGATTCGGGACATGGAGTCGGGAACCAGTAAGAAAAGCAGAGACAAGAACACAGAATAGCCAGGTACTTGACAATGTCACTCGAGATTGACAAACCTCTTCACAGCAGTCTTGGTTCTTCATTCCCCACCACGGGCTGACCAGATAACAATCGAAAGCAACAAAAGCATAGTGGAATTTCCCACCTCAGTCTAAACAAAACCCATGCTCCATAGGTGGAGAGGCGAAGTTGCTTGACGTGTAGTCACAAGTTCTGTAGATATCAAGACGGAATATTCAGACAACCGTGAATGGAAACCGACTCAAAGCAGCGAGAGAGCTAGCCAAAAGCAATAAAAAGCCCCATTAATTTAGCTGGGTGGGCCCTGGTATCGGTTTCGCTTTTCCTCACCCTCATAACTCCGCTACTCCCCGCCCTTCTCATTTGGGAATTGTCAACCATTTCCACCAAGCCAACAAACACGTCGAAAACGAATCACCATCATATCCGAGAAATCCGAGTAGATCGTAACGGTATATCTATAACCCCACAGATAGCCCTGTTGAACATCCCACAATGTCCGGCGCAGGGAACGAGGCGCCTGAAACGTCCAACAAGAGGCGCCGGACCTCAGGCATGTACCAGAGGCGGCGTGCCGTTGCGGCGTGTGGGCCCTGCCGGGTCCGTAAAACGAAATGTGACAATGTCCGGCCTGCATGCGGCTTCTGCCAGCGGAACGGCGGCCAGTGTACATATCCCGACACCTCTAACGACTTCTCAACGTGAGTTGGTCTCTTAGTGTCAGAGGTAATTGTGCCAGCTCAATCTTATTTGTTGTTGTACAGATTCGACCCTGCGAGCTTGGCAATCTTAGACCGTCTCAATCATGTCGTCTCTCTTCTCGAGACTCGTCCGGATCTGCCAGCCGAGCACGCCATCGTCGCTCCCCCGATACCGTCCACGTTATCGCCAACATCAATCCTTGGACCTCAAACTAGTGCCAGTGTCACTGTTGACGAAAATCCAAGCCATTCACCCGATGGCTTGCCTGAAGACGATGTCATGATCCGCCTCGATATCCCCGACTCTACGGCTGCCAGGTCTAATTGTGAAGCCATTCTGAGATGGCCAATCTTCAGGGGATATGCGCCTGAAACTGAATCTTTCATCTTGGAGTTAGAGGATGATGATGCAGACTCTTCGTTTCGGTCCCAGCATTTTAGAAGTCGGAACCTTGGGCGAGGAGTTCAAGAAGACGACTTCACGGTGCTTTCTAAGAAGTTTTTGGCATACGTGCACGTCAAGAATCCAGTACTCGACGTGGGTGACTTCAAAGCGTACGTCAAGGATACGGTAGAGAACGGTCCTCGGTGGGACGGGCCTTCATGTCTGGTAGTAAGTTCGTGGTTTTTCTTGCGTTTTCATGATGCTCACGATGCTAACCAGATGACCAGCTGATTGCATGTGCACTAGCCTGCCTTGCAAGCCCATTTCAAACCGAGATCAACCTCAACAGTACGCCCGAATCAGTGCGCTCGTCATCATCAACCGCCACGGATCCAGATACAGCTCAGGCATATTACCTCGCAGCCAAGAAGCGGCTGGGACTCCTTGAGCCTTCCTTGCTTCAGATTCAATGCTTATTCTTTTGTGCGGTATTTGAGATGTACTCACTTCGTCCACTCCAGGGCTGGTTTTATTTCAATCAAGCTAGCGTCCAGTTCAAGAACCTATTCTGGCGTAGAGCCCAAAGACGAAATACGCAAAACGTTTCTCAGAAAACGCGGCGTCTCGAACAGCGTCTTTACTGGTCATGTATGAAGTCAGAATGGTAAGTCCGACGGAAATTTATGCCTGCTGAAGGGGATACTTGGCTGACTCTCGACACCCAGTGAGCTAAGGTGTGAGATACCGTTGCCAGCCAGTGGAATCACTGGCCTTGGATATCCCGACTTGTTCCCCTCACCTCCGTCTGAAGTTGCATCCCCTACAGCACAACCAAGCGCGTTGGATATATTGGAAGACGACATCCAGCCAGAGGAGGAGAAGAGTTGGTTCTACTACCTGGCTGAGATATCGTCGAGAAGAATGACCAATCGTGCTATATCTATATTTGGTTATAATGGAGAGCAGGCATGGATCCGAGATATAGCCAAGGTGCTCGAGAAGAGCGAGGAATTTGACGAGCACATCAACCTTTGGTAAGAATCTCCTTGTCTTCCCGGCGCGAGTTCGTGTTTGGCCCGAGACGCTGGCTAATGCATGCTCAGGTGCTTGCACATACCCTCTCAGATCCATTGGCAGAACCGAGAGCCATCAAACAACGAGCTGGTACACTTTATTCGACACCGAGCCACGAGCTGCCGCGAGTGGATTCATCGGCCTTTCTTGTATTACGTGGTCCATCAACCAGCGGACGACCCTTGGATACCCCGCGTCATGCCATTAGCAGAAAAGTGCCTAGATCTCTCACTCGAGTTGCTGCTAGACGCTAATCCTCACCATCGCCATCACGGAACATGGTTCATGGCCAGAGCGGCAATGACCCGTGCTCTCCTACTTCTGGCCGCAGTCAAGAGCGGCAGGTTCTCTCGGCTGCCCGAGCGATGGAAACAGGGAGTTGACACGGCCACATGGGCTCTGCAGCGGTGGTATGGCGAAGCTCCGGATTTGCGTAAGGCTGCGTCTGTGCTTGAGGATCTCGTCGGTCAAGTTGTCGGGCCCGGAGTCTGAAAGGGTCTGTGGGGGACTGCGAATGGAGCGGTCCGACGCCAGTACTTGTCAAGCGTCGTAATGGGTTGTCAGTCAATTAAGCGTTCTTTGGGCTCTTTCAACCCCAACTCGACTGAGTCCTCGGACATGTGAAGGAAAGGTTCGCAGGTCCTTGGCGTTTCTCGCCCTTGGTTGGAGGAGAAGTAAAAGGCGAATAGGCGAGCCAAGAGCAGAGGAGGCCCCGCGTCCTTGTACTTGCTTTTTGTTACTTCGGAGAAACACTTGAGCGCTTTGACATCGGCATCGGTCCGGGCAGTCTCTGGCATATGGGTAATGCGCCTCGAATCACTCTGCTGGGCAGTCTTTCGTAGAGCTGTACCCGCAAGCCTACAGCTCCTCTGCTTTTCGATCTAAATAACAATTCCAAGTAGAAGGCGAGGCTACTCCATGATTTCAAAGTTGCATCGGCAGGTTGGTGGCCTTCTATGGCTGCGGCTTTTGTCGGCTGATTATTAGTTGTGTGGGAGGTCTAGGCGTCTTTCTTTGGGCCAAAGTCTGTGAAGAGGACTCAAAGCCAAACAACCAAGAAGCTGAACTTTCAGCAAGCTGCAGCTAATTCTCAACTCCTTTTGGAGAAGCATGTATCTTATTGTCAAAGACCTCGGCGTGGGGGCTTTCTGTGGCTAACGAACACCCCAAAAGTAGTTTTCTCTTCCATTGTTCTCTTCGGGACACTTACCGGGACAAAGAATGCAGCAAGATGCGTTAGCTCCAGGCCCCTTGACGCCATGATCCAGTCAGGTCCTGCGTTTACGCTTCCTCTCGTGCCCTCTAAGTGTCTTAGTCTGCAGGGCGCATGGCACTCCCTTTCCCCCTCACCATGTGATTATCTGAGACCCTTGAGCAAGCTCTCGCCCTCCATCAGTTACATCAGTTAGCCCCAGGGGGCCACGTGTGGCTGGTGCTTACCAGCGTCATCCATGCAAGCCTTTTTTGATTTGGATCTCGTTCCCCGGGGCCTCCCTCTCACTGCTCCGGTTGCATCCCGCTATCGCGCATCGTTTAAACTTCTTCGCTTGGCCCAAGCCGAGCAGCTGTCAGCCTAGCTTCGTTTCGTCTGCGTCTTGTCCGGCGTCTGTTCCCTTGGCCAGCTCACTTCCGTCTCTAGAATCTACCGAAAATATGGATCCAACAATTTCACCGTCGGCCGTTGCATCTACTGTCGCATCCGCTGGTCTCCACAACTCTCAACATCACTCCGAGAAGAGCGACAGCCTGGCTTGTCGATGAGGCGACAGTATGACGAGGCATAATGAGTTTCCCACAACCGTCGGTTGAACCCGGGCTGCCTCATCCCAAGTAGTGAATGCCGGAAGTTGCCTTACAGTCAACTTCAAATTTACACTTTTACATTTACACATTCGGAAGTTGGGGGCATGCCAAAAACGCTACAGACGCAACCAATAGCAATTCCATTACCATCTTCAGATGACGCTTCCGCTGACGAGGGTAGTGGCGTCCTATTGGTCTGTTGGTGTCCTTGACTCTCACCTTCACCGAAAAGTTACAATTCCGATGAAGAGCCTGAACTTGGTAAAAGGCCAAAAAAAAGGTGAGAGGGGTACCTAGGACAACGATGAATGCAGGTCGCGTGGCCGAGCGTTTCCCTTTACCTAGGAGTATCTGGATAAAGCTCAGCCACACCACCTCACAAAAAGTTGGGATGAAGCTATTGTCACGCCTCACGGGGTCCTTGTTCCACTCGGCCTCCTTCACCCGGGCATATTCTCCCACATTCACTCTGACCTCCTTTCAAACCGCCCTTTCTCTCAAAAGACCTCACGCAGCCTTCCCCCTGCAGCTCTTCCTTCTTCTCTTCCCTCTCCCACACTCTTGCTCGGCATCTGCAGCTAGACTTCTTACTTGCAACTTGCATCACCACCAACACCAACGAGGTCTCTCTTTTGAGGTTAGGCATTTTACTTCAGACACGCGACCCAGCGGTTGGTCGATCCATCAGCAGGGCAACGATTGCCTCTTGCCTACCTGAAGCCGGATCAAAATGTCGTTCTCATCTTCGAACTCGTCATCAAGGCACTCATCCAGATCATCGCGGTGCAGTTGCGACAGCTGCGCGGAGTACAGATACGAGAGAACATGCCATGTCGACGGCTGCTCCAGGAAACATGCTTTCCTTCGCAACGATCCACTCAGACCGGATATCAGAATCTACTCTGATTTTTGCGTCGATCGTAAGTACAAAAACCAGCCGAGTTCAATGTCGCACATGCTGACACTTCCTCCATAGATACCTGCAAGTTCTGTGTACTTGGCTTAGAAATGTGCAATCGTCCCAAGGACCCTCAGCATCGTTTCTGCAGTGATCGTGAGATTCTCCTTCGTCCTCACGTTGACGATATTTTCTGACTTTCAGAGCAGATCGGAGATGCGGAGTGGTGGGCTGCGTTCGGACCGGAGATTGCCCCTCGGGCGTGCCTCTCCCGTGGATGTGTCCGGACCGTAAGTTCTACCTACTGACACCACGTCCGAAGCTATGACGCTGATATGCATCTTGGGCAGACAAATGCTTTGTCGAGGATTGCTACAAGACTAGAGACAAGCTATTCGGCTACTGCCTCGACCATCGATGCCGAGTGGGAAGCTGCTTCGAACGACGTATACTCAACTCCGAGTTCTGTGTCGACCACCACTCGCGAGTTTGCCGAGAGCTGAATTGCCGAGAGGTCATATACGCAGACCATCGTTGCTTCAATCATCAACGCTGCATCGTCAAGAATTGCAAATTCCACCGATTCAGACGTCCAGATGGCGGTCTCTGGGACTTTTGCGAATACCGTGAGTGAAAATCTCCTCCCTCTCCTGAAGTGTGTCGAGAAACTGACTAGAAGGCAGACTATGGCGAATTCCGCTGTACATACAAAGACTGCGACAAGCTGACGATACCTGGCACTCGCTGTTGTGCAATTCACAAGTGCACGTTCGAAGGATGTGTCAACTTCCGGGACAACGAGCTCGATAAGGAGAGAGTGTTCTGTCGAGACCACGGGTGCGGTGCATCGAGGTGTTATGCTGTCGCCGTCGCTATCGACGGAGGCGGCTTTCGTCCATTTTGCCGGAGGCACACTTGCACAATAGCTGGTTGCAACGAGGTGTCTGAGTTTGGTGTTCACTGTCACAAGCATCGATGCCATTGGAAGAGCTGTGAAAAGCCTTGCCTGAAGGATGGAGAGTACTGCGGTGACCACGAATGCAAGAGAGCCGGTTGTCACAAAATTGCCAAACTGCAGTTCGGCTACTGCGGAGATCATTGCTGCAAGATTGACGGCTGTATCAACTACTGCGACGTAACTGCCGACAGGATATGCTACGAGCACTCGAGAGGCGACCTCTTCGATCGCATCAAACATCTCGAAAAGAGATTGCGAGAACGACAACACGAGCATATTCACGAGCATCACGACCACCACCATCCGCATTTCGACGACACGCAGATTCGGTATGACAAGCTGATCAGGGACTACGACGAGTGCCTCATCAGATTGAACGAAAGCCGAGAGGAGATTCGCATTTTGCGCAGCACCTTTATATCACCAGACGAGAACCGCATCTGGCGAAAGGATCTCGAAGATCGAAATGCTCGACTATTGCTAGATCTGGACAGGGAATTGAAGAGAAGCGAGCACTGGGAGCGCAAAGCGATCGAGTTCGGCCGGAGAATCGACGATCTCGAGGTTCTGTTAGCAGAGGAGCGACTCCGACATCCAAAGTCGGATGAATACGTTAGACAAATCGCGGATCTTGTACGCAAAGTCGAAATTCTCGAGGATGAGTTGCGTATCGAGCGCAACAACCATCACATTCACGCAGGACGACAGCACGAGATCGAGAAGCTAGTCCGCACTATCGAAGAGCTCGAGCGAAAGCTCAAGGGCGATCACATCAAGGTGGATGAGCTTATCAAAAAGGTCGATCTCCTGCAGTCGATACTCGCGGGCGAGAGAGAGCAAAAGGATATTCTTCTTGCTGAGCTTGCCAAGCGGGATGAGTATGAGAGGTTGAGGCGAGATGAGCGCCGTCGACCTAGAAGAGGGAGCTGGGAAAGAAGATCCCGCGACTCGCGGCCCTGGGGCAGTGTCTTCTGAGAAACGGGGACTGAACATGGGATCTTCCTTCAGGCACCAGACATCTGGGTGACAGCCGCATAATGGGAGATCTCCGAGGCGAGGGTGGAAGCGTACGAGACGAGGATTAACAGAGTTTCCGGTGGCTTTATGTGGGTTTCAGAGCGGGAGAGACGTTTATTTGCATTCGCCGTTGGTACATTTGGAGTTTTCGGGAAAAGGACATGCGATACCCAAACTTGCCGCCTCAAAAGAACCGGCGATAGTTAGTCATAAAAAGAGTAATAGAGACAGATAATCAAGTGGCTTTGAAGAAGCTTCACAATGGTTAATATCTCACGGCTTTCATGTTCAATACGAACTAGGTAACGACAACATAGTGTACCCACACGCCCCCCGCGGACATCGATGTCTTGATGTAGACTTTCCATAACCCAACTGGCAATGTCTTTTTGTGAATTCCTTGATCTCTGCACAATACGTATGTTAGCTTCCTCCCTATTCAAGAGCCAATACTCGATGGTCCTGCTACATCAACTCTGTTACGATCCTCAGGGAGAGTGTGTGTGCCCACAAAAGAGCAAGTACTCGACCAAGATGTTCAAAGTCGGGCTGCATATTGCCTTTGTTGGCATTCAAGTCACTTTGGTAACAACGCCGTGAAAACTCAACAATGAGAGAAGCTATCCAACGACCGCTTGTGTGAGTATATGAAGGCAACTCGATACTTTTCATGTTTGTCAGAAAGTCCAGAACATCAACAAACACTTTACAACCATCAGCCTCCGATCTATAAGTTTAAGGTCTCCAAAGCTGTCGAGCCATATTTCGACAACCTGAAAGCCCACAAATACCATCATCATGTGTCAACACCTCAAAATATTCTACTATTGCTCTTGCGGCAACATTGCCTGTCCGCGTGCTACTGAGCATCCCGCGACGAAAGAAATTTTCGCCCCAGGCAAAGGACACGTACTAAGTGTCGAGGTCAGGGGTAGTTGGTTTCGCTGTTCTCAATGGGTTCGACATGAACTGCGCAGTAAGCTCAGAAGGTCGCTGTCCGCATGCCCGTTGGTTTCACTACTATTGTTGCGAGAAGATTTGCGACGCCTGCGTTCAAGAGCCGGCCAACATTGAAGCTGCAAAAATCGGCTTCGCTTGTCAACAGTGGGGAGACCATCGTGTTGCTGTGCCTCTGCAATACATGCCATCTCACTCGAGAGGCGCCCTCTCGCAAGGTAGGGTTGATGCTAACGGGGAACCAGTAGGCCCTCATCACCACAGCGACACCTTCAGTACCGATGCTCAGGCGAGTAGCAGCAGCAGCCAGTCCCAAGCGTTGAGTTCAGGAACTTCCGGTAATGGGCCAGAGATGATATCGCGACTGCGTAAAAAGCCTCTAGCAGTCAACAGGATGTATGGAAGCCTGATGTTGCCTCCTCCGAATTCACTCTACGCAAAAGTCATCGGCCTCGAACGTAAAGACAACTATTACACTAACTCTTTCGACGCCGTAGGTTTTGGCGGCAGGACCCGGGATTCGAGTGAGCTCTGGAATCGCGTCAGTCCGTATGGCTCCATTGGGGCTGAGATGGACATCTACCGCAACGCCCGACTTACACTACCGCCCACACCTGAGTTTCTTGGACATATTTCGGAAACCGTTCAAGCTTCTATTAGGGCATCTGAAGCTCACGGAGGGCAAATGAGGGCCCCCAGTCCCGTTCCCCGCCCTTCTATGAGCCAGGAGGAACTTTATGCGAGAGGTTTGGCAGATAGCTGGGTACAGAAGCGTCAAGGTCGCAATTGATAGCGAGTAGTATCGTGTGACTAGTCATTCATTTCGATGTTTCTAACTGTGCACGAAGGATCTGCTCATTGGTTCCAAGTTGTAGATACTGTCTTAGATGTACAGATATGAGCAGCAGGCGCTTTTTTCTTTGGGCCAGAGAAAATTTATAGATCGTATCAGTAGGCTCAAGAACTCTTGCATGGCTGCAATGCTGGGGCTGAATCTCGGTTGGTAGAATTGATCTAGCCTTAAGAGCAAGGTCCCTGAGTTGTAATGTTCTAACTTCTATCTTTGCTATCGACTATCGTACAAGTGTGATATCGCTCCAAGACTGGCATAGACCCTGTGAGAGTAAAATGTTTGGCTCGATAGCAACTCCCCCTTTATACGATTTCTTGAGGAAGAGTGCATTCAGAGTTGGTATGCGATGCCGAGATGCAGAAAGATTCAGCATTCATCGTCGTGAAACGATTCATCTGACGATTCGTCCAAGGTTCCCGGAAGACGGCTTGGGCCATCCTTCGAGTCCAAATCGAATGGGTTCTTCCCGAGTACCATCTCCAGGATGATAGAAACTGTTATGAAACCCAAGGCCATCGTCAAAAGTCCAAGCAGTTGAGTAACGAGCCAGCCATAATCTCCGTTAATGGCAACCCAGACCGGGAAGCAGATGAATCCGTAGACGCCACCAACGGACATCGGGGTTAGGAAGAGGACGGCCAAAACTTTCCATCCCACAAGATAAGACCGGTATCGGTGGGCGAGTGCCGTGGCAAGAAAGACCCCGATGGAGTTCGGAGCCATCCACCACCAAGGGAATCTGTTGATGACAACCAGCGGCTGATTTCCGTAGTAGTGGTAGACTCCCATCGGCAGCAGAATCTCCTCCACAATGAGGTCAGAGACCATCATTAGACCTAAGAAATACCATAGGGTTCTAGTCGAAGTCTTGTTGGTCAAAAGCTGGAGGTTGATCTGCATCAACGAGCCATAGCCGAACCAGATTGGTATCCAAGGAGGCATCTCGCGACCAAGGACATGGAAGGAGGCATTCTTATCAGTCCATGGGTAATAGATGCATCCGAGGACATCAATGAATGTCTCGGGAAACGCAATCATGGCCCCGCTGAGTGGAAGAATCAAAGGCAAGAGAGCGCGTGAGCGTAAGGCATCTCTTGCGCCGAGGAGAACTGCTGAAAGTCCGATTGCTGTCATGAATACCATGCAAATGATGTTGCTGGTCTTGTTGTATGGAAGTTCTGTTGGTGGTCGAGGGAGATCGAAGGCCGGGTCGATGTTAAAGTCCATGCTTCCACGCTTTGGGAGTTCGTGGAAGTATGAGCCTATGAGAGCTACTGCGGTGAGGCCAGAAAAACCCGGAATGACCAAGGTGCGCGATAGTGGCATGTTGAATAGATGGGAGGATTTCATATCGGAAAACGACTTTAGGAGTGATGGTCACAACTGAAATCAAGGTGATGTGTGGGGAGAAGGGTGAAGTAGTCTTGGACGCAACCCGCAGATCGGGCCTCTTAAATAGTACATATCGAAGTCACCTGATCGTTCAGCATCGATTGCTTGATGCCAAACTTTCTTTTGAAATAAAGTGTGTCGAGGTGGAAGTTCTGGGTTAAAGAATCTTGGGGCACGAGCTGTTGACAGTTATTCTTCAACCTCGAAACTCGTCCCCGAGCTTCCCCTTTGGGAAGTGTTCACTAAGTAATTCCGCCCGTGCTAACTAATAACAGTGGATAGCAGAGTCGTCGAAACAAAGTGCACTGCCTTGATGGGCTGAAGAAAGAAGACTTCACAAATTCGAAAAACTTACCCGCGTCCAGACATCATACCTTGGAGATATGCAGTCTAGCTTTGATAGACATAGCTAATAGAATGGCGATCATTTGCCCTCAGATTTGGGGTCTTACACATTGCCCAACCGACTGCTTGAGCACACCGGAGGCGGCAGGGGTACCCTACCCTATCTGATGGGAATGACCCTCACTTACATGTTCAAGCCTACTGACATTTCGAACTTAAAGTAATCCACATCCACAGATTAAGCGCTTGAATGGGGTCTGCTTCCCAGAACTACGGATGGCAGCATCAACTGCAAGACCCAGTCCCGAAATGCGGCGAACTGCATGGTCTGGCCATGCGCATGAGCCCACCAGGGACGGCTACGTGCATTCGAGCCCTGTTGGTCCATTCTCCACCTATAGTTGAAGCCGGGGAAGCCTTCAATCTCCTGATGGTGCTCCACTTAGTTCGGGCAGCTGATTAGAGCAAACACCGGAGTATTAGCCATGCTGGGTTCAGCCAACGACTTTCAGCTTGGCAGAGGGGCCCTTGAATCCTTCGGAATGAGTCCTTTAAAACTGATTGCAGCCCTCTCGCATGACTTGTCTAATTCTTCTTGACGATCACCTGTCACAGAAAGCAACGTCCATGAATGATCGCATCCTTCTAGCATCAAGTTTTCGCTAGCGAAGAAGCACACACGCACTTTCAGACTCTCCTTCTTCCGAACCTCAAGTCTGGTCATTGATATCCAACTTCCAAGAAATGGCATCGTTGCTCACTCTCCCACTAGAGATCTTGCAACAGATCTTGGCCGACATCGCCGACAGCCCACCAGAATCAACCCCTTCGAAATACTCCGTCCTTTCTTTTAATCCCAACTCTACCCTGCGAGACATTTCAACGTTGGCAAGACTCTGCCGGACATGCCACACCCTCCGTGAGATCGTTGAGCCGGATCTTCATCGAGACATTGGCATTTCAAGTGCGAATGTGGAGCAGCTCATATCACTATTCAAGTGTTGGAAAGCAAGGCCTCACTGCGCCCATTACACCCGAAGACTCACAATTGAGGCAAGATCACAGATCCATCAAGGGCCGTCACGCCGTGGAATAATACCTCTTATTAGTCTTGACGATGCCGATTTGGTTTCTGGCATCATACAAGATCTAGCTCTCAAGATACGACCCGATTGGTACGAGCATTACTGGAACATCAACGTGCTCGTGGAAGTGGCCGTGTTACTGGCCCAGAATGCTGAATACGTGGGCCTGTTATTCCAAGACAAACGCGGCATCTATCGACAACCTTTTGATATGATTCCCGAGCCGAACAAGACAGCCATGCCCATCGTCTTCAACAACCTTCGATGCCTTCACCTGATACAACCAGGCCGCAGTACCATGGACGAGTTCAAGTCCGTGTTAAACTGCTCACCAAACCTCCAAGAACTTCGACTTGACATTTGCGGCGACCCCACATCCGTATTCACCCTCCCGCCCAACCTCACCAGTCTCGTTCTACGGCGCACCAACCTAAGCGCACGGCACTTCCAGTCAATGACCTCCAACTTCACCATGCTACGCCATCTGGAGCTTGTTCTAGACGGCTCTTCTCGAGAGGCACTTATTTTGGCGGCCATTGCAAAACATCGCGACACTTTGACGAGTCTGATATTGTTGTCTGGCAAAACTCTTCCCTTTGCAAAGCTTAAGACTCTCCACAAGCTCGAGTCTCTTACCACAAGCGTCGAGACTGTCCAACCCGGAGACTTATTGGGCTCGCTCCCCTCTTCTTTGCGTGAGTTACGCATCTTGGAAGAAACGGATGGCGGAACTACGCAGGACCCTCGGGCATGGTTCAAAGAATTCCACGCTGACTCGGATGTACGAGCGGGAAACCTGCCTAAGAACATGGCCATCTGGAAGATTTTTCATTACCGTAAGATCGATGAGGCGTCTAGTCTCACTTGCTGCAACTGGGATCATAGATTTTGGCGGAAGATGATGTGAACACATGCAAGCAGTGATAGACAATACCATTCTAGACTCTAGTACTAGCAACTTTCACTCGCCGCATTCCGTAATGTATAAATCATCGATTCTTAGCACATTAAGAGAAGAGCTGCTGACTCCTTAAGAACCTCTTCCTCAAATATGCACAGTTACATATCGAACCTGAAAAGAACCATGGCAAGAATCGCGGGGAACGGAATTAAGGTAAAAACGTGCTTAGTCATCATTCGTGATCGCCATCCCTGAAGCTGTTCCGCTGAATCGTCTTGGTTTCTTCATCAAACCAAACCATCAACCACCGATATAGGCGGGTCGAGTAGACCATGCCGCCTGCACCGGACATTGTAGAAGCTAGTCACGAAAATGAGGATCTCATCATTCTCAGGTCTCCGCGCAAGCCGCGACGGACTGGCATTTGGGCTCTACTCGCACTAGTGCTCCTGGTCAATCTGGCCGCCAGCCTCTACCAGCTTCCCCTCAGCAGAGTCATTGAACGACGCCTCTGCCGCGAGCACTACGCAGTCACAGATCCTTCAGTGATCGACAGAGATGGAAACGTTCCAGAGGGTCTCTGCAAGGTGGATGATGTGCAGCAGGGCCTTGCCTGGATCCAAGGGACAATGGAGACGGCATGGATCGTGGGTGGTAAGCGCGCGGAATCTCACCGATAGGCGCTCGCTCCTCGACTGACACCATGTTAGACTTCATCATGACGATTCCCCTGGGGTTTCTCGCGGAAAAGTACGGTCGGCGGTTCATCTTATGCCTCAATCTTGTTCCCCGCATCATCTTGCTGGCGTGGGCCGTTATCGTGGGCTACTTCGAGCAGACTTTGCCGACCAAGGCCATGATCGCATCACCATTCTTCTCGGTGCTAGGCGGTGATTGTGTCTTCAACTCAATCACATATACCATCGCTTCCAATATGACAGACGACCATGTCTTAAGGTGAGTAGAACGCAACCTGGCATCATCGCGCATCACCTGGCTGACGGAGACGATAAGGGCAACGTATTTCGGATGGATGAGCTCTGTGTCTTATGTCGTCAACCTGCTTGGCCCAGCTCTCGCATCAGCATCTATGAGCCTTCTTCTCTGGCTTCCGTTCTGGATTGGAATCGGCCTCCTTCTTCTGGCTTACCCCGCTGTTTCTATCCTAGACGAATCACCCGACAGCCACCATGACGCGGACGACCAAGCGAGACCTCTCCTCTCGTCTCCTGTCCTGAAAGCTCAAGACGCCGACTCCTCCCTTCTGAGATCCATATTCCAGCGCTTCGGCGTCTTGAAGTCCATCATTGCAAGTCACCCTCGCAACATGACCCTTCTCCTCATCAGCTTCGTCCTCACCTCGCTCGCGAGCTCGGACACGAAATTGCTTGTGCAATACATCTCGAAACGCTATCACTGGACCTTCGCGTCAACGGGCTATCTGCTCTCCGCCAAAGCTGTCGTCAACTTCACGCTCTTGACGGTCATTATTCCCGCCATCCTACGGTCGAGACAGAACAGGTCACGGCACATCCCGCCCGAGCTGGCCAGTCACCGAATGAACATACACTACGCCAACATCTGCTTGGTCGTCTCTATCCTCGGCGCTCTCGCCATTGCCGTAGCGACCCGAATCTGGATGATGGTACCCTCGCTGTTTCTTTACGCTCTCGGTTCGGCACTGCCGGTGTTCACGCTGTCACTACTCAAGTCTCCCTTCATCTCACCAAAGCGACACGACCAGCCAACCAACTCTGCGCATCCAGAGTCACACATCTTCTCGATTGTGATGATGGTCAAGACATCAGGATCGCTTCTAGGTGCACCACTGATGATGGTCTTATGGGTGAAGAGCATATCGATCGGTGGCGCAGCTCTAGGCATCCCGTATCTTGTTTCAGCTACTTGTTATCTTGCTGCGTTGCTCGTCTTAGGTCGTATTTCAACGGAGTAGCGACATCTTCTTAGAAATTGCGTTGACATAGCTCAACAGCTCGGTTTTGCACCAGTTCCCCAATATAGATGGAATGGAACCTGTACTCGCAAGACTTTCTCCTCTGATCGCGCGCAAGCAAGACTGATGGTATGGCGGGAATTCTGTGAGGGAGGAGAGACAAGACAAACGTACGCCTGAAACCATCGGTCTGGAGAACACGCAAGCCCTCGATCCCCGGATGCAACCCACCACAACTAATCTGCCAACGACAAGATTTCTGGTTCGGGCCTCCAACTAGACGCGGCCTATATGAGCTCGAGCTGTCGTAGGCAACAGGGATCATAGACTCCGGACACTCATAGCGATGTAGCTGTCATGGTCTAAACGGCGAACGCTTCCGGGCAGCTCTGGTCCATGACCAGCACTGCCAAGATTCCATCACCTCATTATCTACGACTTCATTTACCGCTCATCTAGCAAGCCTCTAAGTAAAAAATGTTCGTCCGACCGATCGGCCGGCCGCGGTGGAGACCGCGGAACCCGTGGGCTCTCTGACACCAGACCGCTCTAGCTCTGGACCATCGGCCTCAATACTGGGGTTCGTGACTCCGTCGACCGGCCGGGCGGGAACCTCATTTTAGAGATGTTAGCAACGACCCTTATTGCGCGTCCGAACCATCCGAACTTTGGGGTCTCTCTGAGTAGAGCTACACGAATGGTGAGGTGATGTCTTGAACCTGCAAGCACCCTGCAGGCCAAGGAAAGCAGTCCACGCCGTGGTTGGTCCCGCAACCCCTGTCACCTCAAGCGGGGGACTTTGGGTGTGCTCACTCACACTGATCTCTGCTTACATGTATACTTGTGGTTCACTGAAATAGATCAAACCATGGCATCCGAGAAATGGGTCTCGATCCTGCCTTGCTTACTCTTCATGTCTTGCTCCTCTCACTTCCTCGCGTTCGTCTCATTGCTCTGTGATCGGCTCGCTTAGACTCCCATCGTCTCGCGGCATCATCCCATCATGTTGCGCTCCAAGATAGCGAAAGCAACCGCTCTCACACGCCTCCGACCAACATCAAGTATCCCACTGCGTCGCTACCCACTAATCCCCCAACCAAAACGCCTTCTCTCAGAGAAAATATCCTCAACAGTGGACGAACAAGTCGACATCCTCATAGTTGGCTCCGGCGCAGGCGGCCTAACAGCTGCCCTCCGCGCCAGAACCCTCGGCCTCAACCCAGTCATCATCGAAAAGGAAGCAACAATCGGCGGCGCGTCGGTCATCTCAGGTGGCGGCCTCTGGATCCCAGCAAACCCGATATCCCAAGCAGCAGGCATAGCCGACTCCAAGGAAGATGCTCTCGCGTACTTTGATCAAGCTGTCAGGGACGTCGGGCCCGTCTCGTCGCTGGCGAAGCGGAAGGCGTATTTGGATAATGGGCCTCGGATGATTAGCTTCCTGGGGGATCTTGGGTTTGAATGGAGGTTTAGTAGGGGGTATCCGGACTACTACCCCAAGATGAAGGGCGCCATGGGGAAAGGAGGCGGGAGAACTATTGAGTCTGTGGCTTTTGATACCAGGAAGTTGGGGCAATGGCAAGGTTTACTGCCGCCTGCGAATATACCGGTAGCAATCCACGGCGAACAGGCTCCATGGATTACGATGATGACAGCCTCGTTACAAGCTTTCATCAAATCGACTCGCATCATGCTCCCCATCATCGGCAAAACCATTCTCGGGCAGAAACTCGTCAGCCTAGGCCGCGGACTCATCGCCCAACTCTTATACCTCAACACTAAACACTCAACCGACATCCGTCTACGCACCTCCTTTCTAGACCTCACGCTCTCCCAGGCAGGGAAAGTAAAAGGCGCAAAGGTCAAACTCCCCGACGGAACCACCAAAACCATCACAGCCTCCCGCGGCGTCATCCTAGCAGCAGGCGGTTTCGCACACAACAAAGCCCTCCGCAAAAAGTACGGTCCGGACCCAGCTAGCACGGCATGGACCAATTCGCCCGCGAGCGACACAGGCGACGCGGTCATTGCGGGACAGAAGCTTGGTGCGGCAACGGCTTTGATGGACGATGCGTGGTGGGGGCCGACCATCTTCGATCCCGTGACGGGGAAACCTCACTTTGCGCTTACAGAGAGGTCTCGACCGCACTGTGTCATTGTCGATGCCGCCGGGAAGAGGTTCATGAATGAGGCGCAGCCGTATACGGATGCTGGACACGACCAATACGAGAGGAACAAGTCTGTCAAGGCTATTCCTGCCTGGTTGATCATGGATACCAACCACCGGAACAGATATATGCTCGGCACCCAGCTGCTCGCAAGGATGAAGCCTAACAAGCCGGTTGCGAATGGTACCATGTTCGCGGCAAACACCCTCAGAGACTTGGCGCTGCAGATTAGAATCGACGCTCAAGGCCTGGAAGGCACCATCACGAGGTACAATAACATGTGCAAGACAGGCGTCGATGCAGACTTTGGAAAAGGCGGCAACGCATATGATAACTTCTTTGGCGATCCTGCCGCTGGCGGACCAAATCCCAACATGAGAGCCTTGGGCAAAGCACCGTTCTATGCTATCGCGATCTGGCCAGGCGATTTGGGGACCAAGGGAGGATTGCTGACTGATGAGCACCAGAGAGTACTGAGGGAGGACGGCGAGGTGATTCCTGGTTTATATGCTATTGGCAATACGGCGGCGAGCATCATGGGGCGGACTTATCTAGGTGCTGGATCAACTTTGGGCCCTGCCATGACGCATGGCTTTCTTGCTGTCAACCACATCGCCGAAACCTGAAAGTCTAACTCTACTTCATGGAATCGTGTTCGCTACATGACTATACTCATGCGGAGTAGCTTCCGGCATCAATCGTTATGAAGTTGAGAGGAATTGGCGCGTGATGATACAGATGTGTCTACAGGACTGAAGTAAGGTGAGGAAAATGTGCAACAGGAACAGAGTGGGTTGTATTTAATCATCAATATCATGTATATATGTTGTCAAGTCTGAAGCTCTCATAATTTAAACAGAGCAATCGTCTATGGTTGTATGATCTCGCTTGCAATGTCAACACCTGCCATGCCATTCATCGACCTTTAGGTCCCCGATGAATCCACACAAACAACACCATGAAAGTAATGCTAAACTTATACATGGATACATCTACTCTACGCCATCGTCTACCCTCGTTAACGTCGTCAGTCTGTACCGCTCTTGTAGGGTCTAGCACAACTCTTTATGTGAGTCTAACGGAGTCGCTTCCGGGGTAGCAACGACGTCTGGTGTCGAAGTCCCGGAGTGTAACTTGTCGTAATCGGTTGAGTCGACACTGTTCTTGTCCGACTTTTCCGACTTGGAGTCTTCGTTCGTCTCGTCTTTCTCATCTTTGATGTCATCTCGCGCTTCTTCTGTCTTCTCAGTCGTGGATGCATCGACATCAGGCTTCGCAGCTTCTGCGCTATCAGACTCTATCCTCTCGCGTTCTCCGCCCGCGTTTACTTGGGCGTTGTCGATATCGGCTTCTCCTTTCTTGCCCATACCACCCTCGAGAAGCTCGCCGCCTTCCATGACGACGCGGACTTCAAGATCCTCGTCCATGGAGTAGACGCGCACTCCTAAAATGCAGATGGCGTTCCAGGGATCAGGCATATCTTCCTCTTCAGATTCGTAACGCTCGTCATGTCTTTTGGGCGGCCCTGCAGGAGTGAGGCGTGGCTTTCTGACCATGTCATCGTCACTGTATAACTCTTCCCAGTCCTCAATGGGCGAGTCGGATGAATTGCCATCCGAATCGTAAGACGTCTGCGCCGGCGGTGCGGGAGCAGGCGCGGATTTCGCTGCAGACTCTTCGTCGGCAACGTCCTTCTTGGCTTCGTCCGTGGATTCTTCCTTGGGTTCCTCCTCGGATTCCTCCTTGGATTCCTTCTTACACTCATCCGTTACATCTGACTTGGTCGTCTCCTTCGATTCCTCATTGGAGATGCCTTCAGCAACACCCTTGGTTGTGTCATCGGACGCCGCCTTGTCCTTGGCAACTTCCGTCTGGACGGCTTGATCCTTGGCCTTCTCTGCATCCATCTTCTTCTTCGCCTCGGCCTCTTCCATCACTTTCGCGTCTTCAGCAATCTTGGCTTCCGCAGCGGCCTTTGCGTCGAGGTCAGCCTTGATCTTGGCTGCTTCCGCCTTCTTGGCAAGCTTGCGGTCGCGCTTCTCGTTATTCTTCTTGGTCTGCTGCTTAGTGACTTCGCGGTTGATGTGACGTCTCTCCCAGAGCTTGCGGCGCTCCTTTTGGCGAGACTCGGAGGCTCTCTGCTGCTCCTTCATCTTTCGTAGTCTAGCAACCTCTTGAAGGTGGGCAGTACCCTTGCTGTGCGCCAAGTCGTATGCGGCACCAATTTGCGCCAGCTTGTCGTTCTCTACGCGCTTCTTGCACTCACGCTTGACCACATCTTCGACAGAGGAAATTCTGGTGTCTCTCTCACCAGTGACGCTCATGAAGATGCTGTACTCCCCAGCTGGCATGTCCGGCAGCTCGATGGAGACGGACCGGTCCATGAGATAGTTGCCGTGAGAGCGGACGATGTAGTCCTCAGCACCAGGGCGGTCTCGCTCGTGAATACGGAAGTGGATGCGGAACGAGTACTGGCCCTGGAGCCCCTTGAAGTATCGTGTGTCAAGTTGAGTGAGAACCAGGACTAGCGGCCCATCCTTGGATAACTTGACCTGGAATTTCTCGTTGAACTGCGATTTCCAGGGGACCTCGACCCCGATCCAGCGTTGGGCGCATCTCCAGGCGGGGTCACGGAAGAGCCTGGTTCTATCGATGTGTTGAAATTTACGCAGGAAGTCGTCGTAGTTGATCCAGAAGACAGAGTCATTGCCAAAGTGGTGGCCAAGTTCCTCCTGAACTTCCATGGTCCATTCTTTGGAGCCATCAGACCACGCGCCCTCCCACACGCCCTTGCGAATCTTTCCCCAAGGATTGCGGAGCTTAATCAGACGCTCTCCAGATTTCAGCGTCCTTGCTTCCATGATAACGTATGCGTGGCCTTCCGAGATGCCATTTCTCTCGCCGTAGCCTCCATCAAGAAGGCCTGTGGAGCAGCCAAATAGGAATTCCTCATTGACTTTGGCAAGCTCATTTTCCCAGAAACCCTCAAGGTCGAGGATATCCGAGGTGAGCAGTTCGGTGGTAACACCACCCGAGAGATCTTCCAACCCCTCGCCGATCCAGCCACCCGCCAACGATGCGAAGTCACCGTGAGCCTTGGCGTAAGCCTTCTCGATCAACGGCACCCACGTCTCGTTCTGGTCCTTGCACTGAGCAAAGAACAAGGCCTTGGATCCGGTCTGATAGGTCTTACGATAGACACGCTCAACGTCCTCTCGGTCAATTTGCTGGAGGAGATCTCGCTGCATGCTAGGCGAATCCCAGCAAGGAGACTTGAGATACAGCTTGTCGTCGATAATGGAGTAGATCCACTCGCCATCGCGGTAGAAGACGAAACCGTAAATGCCGATGCGGGTGTCGTACTCGACGCAGATGCGCTGAATACCGCCCTCGACGTTAGCAAGGGCGGTTAGCGTCGCCATCAACCAACAGTCCCCGAGGCTTCCTTGTTTCACGTCTCCGCCATTGACGTTCTTTAAGAAAGTTGGCTTCTCAAAGATTTCGTGAACACGCTTTACTGCCTTGGGGACAGATGCGCTTGGGTTGGAGAGAGTGGTCCTGGAAAGCTGCCATTTGGTGTGGCCGAGGGTGTTGAGACAGTGACCCTTTTCCCACTTCAAGTCCCAGTCCTGGAGGGCTTGTTAGTTCTCAAAAGCTCGAATTCCCAAGCAGAGGTAACTCACCAAATCCCAACCAGGGTCCCGATATCGCATGTTGACTCTGCGGCATTCTTGGATAATTTTCTTTACTTTCCGGCGACACTCCTCGACAGCTCGCTCGTATCCAGCACTTAACAACTCGTTGGGCTTCTCTGAGCTCGCTGGCGGTAGAACAGGGTCGAAGGGTAGCACAGCCAAGGCCTTGTTGAACTTCTTGTCTTGAAACTTCTTCCAAATATGGTTGATAGAAGGCTGCGGGGGCGTCTTCTTCTTCTTGACCTTCTTCTTGTCGGTGGTACTGGTCGATGCTGGCACAGGACGCGGGCGACGAGGATCGTCCGACTCCTCTGAAGAGCTGTAACCGTGCATGGTGAGGGTGAGGTAGAATAGACACGGAAGCTTGAGAATCAGGTAGCGTCGAAGGTCTAAAGAATGACAACGGTCGAAGACGAGGTAGGTGGAAGACGGGAGCTGTGCAGTAGTTTTCTATTACTGCCAGCGTACAGAAAAGGTCCCGAGCTTATTGTTGTACACGGGTCAGTTATGGCAAGATTGGGCGAAAGAAGGGCGGTCTAATGCCGTGGCACAGACAGACGACCGACTCAGGGAAAGGTGATACGTTGAAGAAGGGATATGAAGGGTATCTGTAGAGGGCGTAGACGAGCACGAGTCGTAGATGGAAGAGAAGGCCGGTTATAAGGGAAACAAAAGGCAGAGGGAGAGGGTATAGTGTAGACGAAGGAGGGCCTACCTGGCCGTTGAGTCGCAGAGCTGGGTTCTTCCAACGAGTGCGTGCCAGCCTCGCCAGAATTATTGGACGATCTGACAATCATGAGTCGGTGCCGGGGCCGTGACCGGGATGGTGGAGGTGGAGGATGGCTCGCACGACATGGATATGAACGCTGGGGGTTCACGTTGCTACGAGGCAGCCAAGGCGTCGAGTCGGAAGTCGAGGAACCACATCCATTGTAGCCATTGGCCCGAGAAGGTTGGTGGTATCAAGGGCCCCGGTTAAGGACAAGCAGGCCGGCGTTGCTGATGGTAATTGTCGTGATTGCTTCCCCCGGTTTCCCCGTATCACTCAAGGTTGAGCACCAGGCTTTGGGTGGGGCAAGGGTCTCTTGGCGTCGAGCCGGTCGATTTCAGGGTTCCAGAAGGCCGTTCTTCGGATCGAAGGGTGTCAGGACTTGTTCCATTTTGGCGCTGGGAGACGGAGAAGAGGACAGAATCAGACGGGGAGTTGCGTGGTGGTCTTGAACGGGACAAAGAACGGCGCACACGGCTTGTGGTTGAGAAGTTGAGGTGGAGGGAAGATACGGAGACTCGGGAGAGACGGGTGGAGAGGTACCGGCACAGCTTATGTGGGGTGGAAAGGTACATGGATACGTACACTGGACCCCCAAACGTGTCATGCACTGCACTTCCGGGGACACTGCAGAGGCGTTAGCGCCACGGATGGGAGCCTTCAGCGCCGTGGCACCCAGCGATAAGACTTTAGTTGGCAACTTCAGGGTCTCGGTGCCTATGCAGCAGAACTGATTGGCCCAGCTTCCCATCTGATACCGATAAGGCCGCCCAGGCGAGGCCCTAATCGTCCCAACCGTCGCCTAAAATGGACGAGGCCACCGTTGGTGTCTTTTCGATTTCGGAATGCGCAAACTCTTTGGCTTTTGTTCCTTCGCTCTTCTGTCCGATCTTTCTTCCTCCTAGAAGCAATTCACAAAGTGGCGTACGACCATTAATCAATCATCGACCCTTCCCGTTTTCCACCTGTTCTACTCGTTTTGTCCATCTATTGCATACGGTATATCTACTTCCGATCCTCGGACATCGGCCTTTTCTTCAACACCACTCGTGGTACGGTGCCACACACCTCCCCGGCAGGCAATGATACACAAAAGGCTCTAGACATCCCGCCATCAGCCGCGTCTGACAGACTCGGTCCCGTTTGTCCTTCACACTTTGTAGGACAAGCGGCAAGCTTGCGCATGCCTACCACAATCAACCGAGACCCACTCCCGTTGGCAACTCATCCGTCCTTGCCGATGGGGCAACGTTGGAGGCCTTGAGTAAATAGGTAGGCAGGTAGGTATTCATGCGCCCGGGCTGGCATCCCTGAGCTTGGCCAGGGTTCAAGCTCGACGGTGGCAATCACTACTTGATTCACGCTCACTTAACAGTGTCTTAGCATGAGGGCATTCCCAGTGCCCCATCGGAGGCAAACTACCAGGCTGACTGCCTCACAATTGCCTGGCAATATGTTGCATCGTCAACCCTCACTTCACGATCCATAAGATTCATTGGCCAACGCGATATGAACCCTGATAGACGGCTTAGGCAACGACACTACCTGACCTGGTCAACAAACAGATCGGCTTGTCAGCACAGCCAGACCTTCTTCAATTTTGAATCAGGCTGCCTCTTGATGACCCCGCGATATACGACAATTGCAGAGAGGCGCAGCTTCATCCGTCCGCAAGTGACCCTGCAAATGCGTCTCGTACAGTATATCTGGACGTTGTCATACTCTCGTATACCACATCTGGACGACGTTGCAGCAACCAGCGCTTGCCAGAATCTTAATCATCCCGCAATCAATCAGATCCATCTCGACCTTCTCCCACTTCAATTCCCACATTGCGATGCCCCGAGAAACCTACAAAGATTCCTTCCTTGTCTCGAAACCTCCAGGAGCTAGACCCTGGCCGTTTCTACCCCGACTTTGGACGGATATAGATAGATCATCACAGCACGATTACCAAGATACCTTCAGCCCGCTCCCGACCAACTTGCCCGCCTACCGCATCCGCTCTAGGCCCACATTGTCACTAGTGGACGTTGCTGGATTTCTCGAGCTTGCGGCAGTGCAGGTGAGGGCACCAAGTCACCCATGCACGAGGCGCGACGAGCGACGAGGATTGATAACGGAATCCGGGGATGCCTAGGCGAAGACGAGATGTGATAGCTATTGTTCAAGGCCATGCAGCATTGCCAGCCTGCCAGCTTCCCGTACGAGATCACAAAACTGGCATGGAAAGTCGTTGGACTATGACATTCACGCATTGTACCACTGTATGGATACAAACGCACAATGCAGGAGGTGGCAAGGGGCATGTTCCTCCACTAAATCTGTCCCAGTCCCAGTCCACCTCGAATCACTTTTCACAAGAAGCAACCGACAAGATTCAAGCATGTCAGCAATCACAGTGTGCTGCATTGCTGCATTGCAGCACTGCGTGGTGCGTGGTGCGTGGTGCTTTCTCGTCCAGGCTTCAACAAGGTTCGCGGCCTCAGAAACCTAAGGTGGCTTCCGGCTTGTTTGACATGGCTTCGTCCAATTCGTCCTGTGCTGGGCGAGAACTGGAAGACACTACATGAGTCTGAGCCGAAGTTGTTTTCCAAGTCCCGCCCAACACCGGCTCCGGCGTCCCGTCCGTTCTAGCCCAAAGCGATGCGCTGCATGCTTGAGAAGCACTTCAGCGATGTCGACAGCTCATTTTCAATAGTCACCAACTGTGATCGAGGGCCACCATTCATGAGACTCGATGTTGGTCAGCCTGCCAATACGTCTCGCGAGGTCATGCACTGTGACACCCTCACCTCTCTGCCGTGCCGCTCTCTAGCAGCGTATCCGTATGGGGGCCTCAGTATTGGGTGAACAGCGCACAGTGTCAGGACTACTAGCAAGGCGATCACCTATCTCAACATACTCAGGTAGAGCTAGTCGAGACACATGGAGCGATACAGCGGCCAACGACATCAGATGAGACCACCAAGGACCCAGACTGATTCGTGTTACTCTGGACGGGCATGAACGGGAAAACGGAAGGCAGAAAATGCAACCATGGACAGAGAGAAAAGGGGACCAAGGAACTAACACACCCCTAACCAGTCAGTGCCAGCCACCTCTGGACGAGGACCCTCGTGCCTGAGTCGGTGTGGATGGACCCTGATCATCCCAAGCACCGGAAACGCGCCAGTGGCGACAAGGCCCAGGCCGAGCAACGGAATAGCCGTTCCGAGTACCGTAGAAACTCGAGCAACTCGAACTTGCGCTAGCCCGTGCCAGCCCTGCTAGCGCTCTGGCAGAATCGTAATACTGCCTAAAGTGGTTAAATGCGGCCGCCACCTATTTTTGGCGTAGGTTAACATTTCGATCGATCTGACCAATGAGAGCTCGCCGTCGAGGCCGGACCCACAATTGATATAATTCAATAATTATTTTGGCTTTCTCGTCGGTTTTGAGCTTTTCTCGTCGAATTGGCAAAAAGGGCAAAAGTGTCAATTGGAAGCAGTCGTACGTAAGCAACCGAGCCCCTGACTGTCCCCTGGCCCACTGCCTCCAACGGGCCCCTATTCATACGGCGGTTGGACTGTCGGGTCGACGAACTGCCCATTGATGCCATCACGGACTTCCTCTGCTGTGAAAATGTACTCTAACCCGTCGTTCAGAACAGCGAAGTCTGGAATCTCCTCTTGCAGCGTCTCCTGCTCAATGTGGGCTTCTACGTCGAAGAGCTCCCACCCAGTGTAATCGATGGCCTCGGCGGGCACGTCTTTGATCCGGATCTCGTCGACCTGGCTGCCATCGGGCCGAATAGATATTCCGCACTGCAGGAAGGCCTGGCTGACCATTGAGCCCTTCTCGTGGGCCAATTTAGCGGCTGCCGTCTCGACTGTTTTGGTGACCATTATTCTCTTCATACCCGTCTCCCACTTGAGCTCCTCCTGCTTATTCAGCGCTTTTTCTTCCTCGTCGAGTACGTAAGCGTCGGTTGCTTCTGAAAGCCACTGCTTGAAGGGCTTATTGACTGCGGTATCGAGAGGTTGGAGGAGGGAAGTGGTCCCTGGCGGTATGAGGCAGGGTGTGATGTGGTGCTGACGTAATAGCGCAAGGATGGAATCTGTCTTATGGAAGGAAGCGACATCCATTACCAATAGGTACTCGTCTCCCTTAGTCAGCGCTACCAATTCCTCTTCAATCCATCTTTTGAACAAGTACTCATTGTTGTAGGCAGTCTTGTTGAACTCAACTGTCACTCCTTCTGCGTATAATAGGCCCTCTTTTTTCCATAATTGACCCCCTTCCTCTGCGGGCTTGCCGTGGAATATTATTTTCGGTTTAATTCGTTGTATGCCGTCGGCGAAGATGTAGAGTATTAATGTGGCCTGCCGCTTGCCCCAACCGCTGCGGTCGCTCTTGCCAGCCACGGTTTTGGCCCCGACGTCGTCGTATGTGTAACCGTCTAGGTATTCGAAAGGAACTGGGGTCTCGTCGAGGTTGAGAATTCGCGAGTTAGGAAATCGACGGGCTGGACTTCCGAGTAAATCTCCGACGTTAGACCGCTTCACCTTAGCCAGGGCCATTTGATTAACTCGTCGGATAAAGGAAAGAAAGCTGTTGACAACTTTGAAGTACTCAGTGGGTAACTTCGTTGCCTGTTTGGTAAGTCGACGTCGGGTAATTCTCATACGATTCTGGAAGCCACGAAACCAACCGGGGGAAAAAATAAAAAGATGTTTGCTGTTCGGGTTCTGCTGGGCGAAAATCCGCTTAGCGGTCCTTTTGAACCAACTGGTACTAACGAGCTTTCCCTCACTTCGTCGCTGGCGGAAGGCGCCGTATAGCGCTGTCTCGAGCTCTGGCCACTGAGGGTGGTAGGCGTAGTTGGAGGACCGATTGACGATTGACTCGCGGTTCTGATACCAGGAGATAACCGTGCTTCGAGGGACTTTGAACCAATCTGCGGCTTCCTGGTATGTGGGACGTCTGTATATCCCTGGGAGCTCGGTCTCGCCCTGGCGCAGCCTCGGGGGGCAAATCGACTCTTCGTCGAGCTTCCTCACGCGGTGATGCTCTAAAAACATCAGGACGTTGACTTTGGTATCGTGGGTATAGTGGTGCTGGCGGCGCTTGATTGGGCCACTTCGCGGTGTATATTTCCGGTCTTTGATGGGGGTAGGAGCAGGCCCGCGGCGCTTAGCTGCTGGAGGTGTAATTGGCACTTTTGCCGTATTCGAATCCTTCTCGGCAAGGGCCCGTCGTGAGGGCATCGTGGGCACGTCGACGAGGCCCGTGGTGGAGGTGTAATTGGAGGTATAATTGACAGTATAATTGGTGGTCAAATCGGTGATGTAATCGGTGGAAGTGGGCAGTTGGGTAGGAGTAAAAAATGGAAAATAATCACTTACCGCCTTCCGTATACGGTTTAGTCGATTATATAATCGGATAAAACTGATCCCTCGAAAGGGCTTAGTGTGGGCCGCTAGCAGGGCTGGCACGGGCTAGCGCAAGTTCGAGTTGCTCGAGTTTCTACGGTATGTTGAGAATTTGAGACACCGAGGAAAAGGATTGAACTACTAACGGTTTTCACGCGCATCGTGGCAGCGTAGTACCGGACTTGACGCCAGAAAAACGTTGCATTAGAGGATTAGAGGTGTGTACTTGCACACCGACTCGATGACTTCGGATACTTGCCGTTTTAGGTCAAGGTCTGGACCGAGGCCCCCCTTGTCGGACCTCGTCCGTTGCCTCACCGACTTCACCGTTTCCTCCGATCCCGCAGTCCCATCCTCTTCTGGCGTTCCCACGTTCCCGCCTGCCATCGTGCCATCCAAGAACGTCTTCTGCGCGATATGTTCTCGGACCTGCATCCGTTTCTCCATCGCTTATTCGATGAACTGTGTATCCGTATCCGTGATGAGGTGCTCTGTTTCGGCCATGCTGGGCATTCCCCCACTTATGGATACAAATACCCACAAGAGACTTCGACAACATTCAACTTGGGTTTCGCTCCCTAGCCAGTGAACTCGTTTAAGCTGGGCGTGTTATAACCATGTTAGTCATTATGGGATAATTAGAGGTAGTGACCGATATCTGTTGGTGTGGCTGTTGTTGTCTTTTCAATTGAGATGATGAAGTTCAGTGAGAAGTACCAGCTCCAACGTAGCCACTGCTGCAGACGCCTAGGTACTAAGTATGTTGGATCATAACGAGATGACCAACATAGATCATCAATTCAGGTCCATCAATTTCCCAGAGAAGAATTACCCAGCCTAAATCATCTAGGGGTTCCCCATAATCACTTTCAATTAAATGCCGTAGACACATGGCTCCGAATTGCTACCAAACTTTCTCTCGACTCAATAGAGTCTTGGACAAGCCCCACCTAAGCAAGTCGTTCGTCCCCGGGCTTGTTCTCGGCAATCTCTCTCAAGTTTTTTGTCGGTATTGATGCCCAGAAATGCAGGTGCTGAGACGCTCATCCAGGTATAGAGCTGAGTCTTCTCACGTGGATTTGCCCCTGGATGGCTGAAGTATGTTCAGGTAAGTTCAACTTGTGCGCCGCAGCCACTGTTGATGCTCACGTTTGTATCTCTCTCCGGTAAGATGGGTTGAGCCGTGGAATCCTGTTTGACGCATACCTGGGTGCTTATCTCCGGGTTTACTGGACATCGGCATCGTCTCAAACCCAGCTTTTCCTCTAATTTAATGCTCCATGAAAGCTATTACTATACGGCATTGATACAATTAACTCCAGTGACAGAGAAACCGTAATTTAGAAGCTGTACCGATCAAATTGGGCATCATATGGGTTGGCTTTCAAAGCTCGTCTCAGTACTCTCCAGAATGTCCTGTTTGGGCCAATGTCTGACTACCTGAAAGTGCCAAACAGCAACCTTTCTGGTTTTTCAAAATCTTGATCGCCCAGCCAAGAGCTAGGACATCTCTCTACCATAACAAGAGTCCACGATATCCCGTGATATCGCTCATCTAGTCATCGGAGATAGGCTCTCATTACTCCTGCGTATCTCCTCAACTTCACAACAACATGGCAAGCTTTTCGATATCCGGAAGTCGAAAGTATATGTCTTCGACTTATCGGAGATGTGTTTGCTGGATTCTTCTAATCTCGACCTCTTCTCCTCTTTAGGGCCAAAAGACAGCATCTTCCTTCTCAGCTTACAATCCATTCTTCCCATAGAAGACACAACACCGTTAAGCACACAAACACTCTGTTACACATCCTCGCCCTTGCCCATACCCTCACACACTGACCCCTTAACTATACCCTTACCCCTCTCTCTATCTATTCTACGATGAATAACTTCACGATGAATAATAATATGGAAGCTGAAGAGAACCCTAGGCGTCGGGCTTTCCGACGTGCGGTCGTAGCAAACATCAATCGCAGCACTGCTCTGAGACAGCAACGTCATGTAAGAGAGCAGCAGATACAGGAGAGGGAGAGGCAGCAAAGGCAGGCTTCTGTATCTGCTGCTCTCTTATATGATGTTGCTGTCACGAGGCAGAATGGGAGAACCACTCAGGCCGCTCCTGATACCCAGGCCGCTCATATCCAGGTGGTTCATAACCAACAGGAAGTCATTCAGCCCGCCCCAGTTGTCTCCAGCGGCAGCTCTGGACCCAGCCTCGTCGGAAACCTTGAGAAAGTAGCCGAGGCTACTCCTAACGCAGCCCTCGAATACCCTATCTCGTCCTGGACCATTCTGTCGTTCGACCTGAACTGCGACCCTATCCAAGCGAAAGTAAATCAGCCCGAGATCGAGCCACAGATCGCCTCGTCCAGCAACTCAAAAGGCAAACAGCCTCAGCAGCCACGTCACAACATTAATCAGTGGCTCGATGGAAGGCCTCGCCCAGTTCTGGATCCCAGTGCTGACGAGTGGCTGCCCTTGAGCCGCACGATGGATCAGGATAATCATCCATTGAATGGGCCCGATATACTGAGCTTATACTATAACAGTGACAGCATCGACGAACATCCAGACTGGTGGGAAGACCAGTCGAAAGTTGACCCGAGAGATGTAACCCCCGTCAATCCACTAGCTCGAGTCCCGTCACTGGATCGTGGCCCGAGTATCCGTCTCCAAAGAGCACTGGCAGAAGACCGAGAGGCTCATCGGAAGCCGATTAGCGATCTCCTCGGCCCCAGCGAACCGCTCCCGCCTACCACCCAGAACGGCCTTCTTCGAGCGGCGGAATGGGCGGGCGTATGGTGTAACGAGGTGCGCGAGCCTTCTACTCAAGCAAAGATGGCGAAGTTGGGACCGGAGAAGAATATGAGTGAGGTGGAGCTGGAATGGAGCCTTTGGCATGGGCTAGAGAAGAGGCCTAGGGAGAGGCCTGCTTACTTGCCTCGGCTCGAGAAGAATGAAGAGGAGTTTCCGTCTGCATTAAGGCGCGAATAAACACGACGGGCAGGGTCAGGACGGCACGGAGGAAGAATAGCATTCACATTGATGGCGAGCAGGAGCTTCATACACGCCCAAGGAAAACATTGGCAGACACGAAGTGCTTCCCATCCAAATAGGAAGGTTGGTGATATGCGCCGCCTGTATTAGTCGATGTATCTTAGAACCTTAGATTGTGATGCCATACAATGACCCATCCTCCAACAATTGATCTTGTATCGTGAACCCCTTTTACAGTCTAGTCAATCCCTTCCGCTATGCGGATACTCAGAAGAATCCGAACGTCTACGCCTGCACATCACTCTCAGTCGTTACAACACCCTTCTTCAAAACAGGCTCGCCAGGCTCAACAGCACCATAACTCGGCCCCTCGCCCGCTCCCAGCCCCCTCTCCTCTTCAGGCACGAGCACAGCCCTCTCCTGGTTCTTCTTATCGATGCTCTTCCTCCAGGGTCGGTACACCACCACCGAACCGAGCCCGACAACGACAAAGAGGCCGCAGATGCTGCCGCCGATAATGTCAAAGTGCTCTCCAATTGCGTCAACGCCGTCCCAGAAGCTGCCTTCCGGCTCGGCGACGTTGGCGATGAGAGACAGGACCTGGATGATTCCGATAAAAGCCGATACGAAGACAGTGATGCCGGTGAGGACGATGGAGTAGTAGAGAATAGCGACGCGGTCGCGCGAGAAGGCCTTTGACGTGTAGAGTGCCATCATGAGGGCGCCGTCTGTCGTGTCGAGGAGGCACATGCCGGCTGTGAAAGGTCAGTGAATGCAAATGAGATATGCTTTGCAAACTCACCTGTAAAGAGGACAGGAAAGATGAGAATAAGCCAGATGCTCGTCCCCTGCGCCCCATGCACACTCGACAACCCAAGAATAGCAATCTCCGAACTCGTATCAAAGCCCAATCCAAACAGAATTCCCAGAGGAAACATCTTCCAGGGCCGGTCAACAACCCGAAATACCTTTCTAAACACATTCGCCAGGAACCCTTCCCCTTCCAACTTGAGATTCGTCGCCGCGTCGCCCTCGTCTTCCTCGGTAGGGGTGTACCCCTCCATCCCACGCCGCCTCTCCTCCTCCAGCACAACTTTCAGTCTCCGGATGAGCTTATACAGCACCCACCCGTTCCCAGCACACAGAAGCAGCAAAAACGCCGCGCTGACGCTCGTGCCGATGATGTTCCCCACACGCGTGAAGCCGTCGAAGCGGTCCCGCAGCGCGCCGCTCGTGGCAGCTACGACGACGCAGGTGACGATGACGATTGTGCTGTGGCCTAGGGAGAAGAAGGTTCCCACTGTGACGGGCCGCTGACCGGAGGCGATCAGGCGGCGGGTCATGAGGTCAATGGCGGAGATATGGTCTGCATCGAGGGCGTGGCGGAGGCCGAGGACGTAGGAGAGGGCTGCGGGGGAGATGAGGGAGGGGTGGAAGTGTAGGATGATGCCGGCGACGATCCATAGTATGATGTTGATTGTTACGAGGAGGGCGATGATTCGTATTGTTGGTGCCGGGAGGACGCGGAGGGCTGGCGGGATGGGCAGGTTGGCGAAGGGGACGCGGAAGCGCGCCATCGTGGTGGTTGGTGGTGTGAGGCAAGCTACGTGGTGTATGTGCTCTTAAGCATGAATAGTTGTAAGATTTCTACGAAGTTCAGTGACTTGCCAAGGTCAAAACCAAGAGAAAGATGAGATGGAGGGTTGTGAAGAGGTTGGATTTGAGACGGAGAGCCCAGCCGGCGGGAAACAGCTCGTTGACGGGCGGCCCTCCGGCCCCTCAGACCTCCTCACGGCGGGGAAGCTTCCCCAGCCTTTGTACCCTCACAGCACATTGAGCATCGATTATTGAGCTAGGTAGAAAAGGCAAGTCGTGGACGACTCGAAGATAGCGTGGAAATACTTGCTCACGGTGGCATTGAGACGGGGACGACGTGGTGGCAGATTCGTCTCACGAAGGCGCGAGTGACCGGCGGGACCCCTCACGACCCCTCCATCTTTCAGGCGTTATCTTATCGGTCATGCGGGGGCATTTTGAATGGGGCCGCTCCGAGCCGACGGCGGCCGCCGGCCGTCGTCTCGGACGAGGTTACTCAAGTACTTTCTACGTTACTTATGTCCTTGAGCATCTCTTTGCGATCTATCGGGGTTCTTGTCAAGAGACTTCAAAAGTTCGGCTCGATTCATACGCAAAATGATTTGGCCGCTTGGATATAATGGTAGGATCGAGTCTTTGGTGGTACTCATTTAGATCTAGATGAGAAAACTGGAACCACCAAAGCTTGGCCGTCAACGTGGGTGCGTGGGTACCTGGGTAGGCACACTAGGTACGGATAGTATGCCTTACCTCGTGGGCAGATGATGGGCATTATCTCTTTAAGTCTCATAGCCATTTATTGCAGATTACTCATCGATGCTATTGCAACCTCTCAGGCTCTCACGAATGTCTGCAGTGACAACAAACTTCCTTGAGTGAGAAGGAGCTTGAGGATGAGATGACAAATGAGGTTCGGCGGGGTCCAGTAACTTGTTTGAGCCGCCGCCCGTCAGTGATTTACAGCGCTCAGTCAGCGCTGCCGCCAGCTTGGTAACCCGTGCGGGTACCTGTAGAGGCCTACCAACCTTGATTACACCCCTGTCTTCCATCCTTCCACTCTCCCCCATCTCAAATATCTGATCAACTTCTCATCTCATCACCTCACCTCATCTCAATACCTTTGATCAGACTAAATAACCAAGGAGGCTGATAACTTGTGATCTAATCTCATCAAAATCTCATGATCCTTACCCCATTACTCACAATAATCTCAACCCTCCTCACAAGCATCCAAACCTGCCCCAACAACTCATCCCTCCGTACCCTCACCCTCAAAATGCCCGAAGTATACAATAAAGCCTTCATCCCCCTCGAATCAAACCCCCAAGTCTTCAACGAACTCATCACCGCCCTAGGCGCCTCACCTGCCCTCCACTTCCAAGACATCCTCACTCTCGACGACCCAGCCTTCCTCCCTTCCAAGATCCTCGCCCTCATCCTCGTTTTCCCTACAACGCCAACCTACGAAGCCCGGCTGACGGCCGAGGACGCCGGCGCAAAGGATTGGATGGTGGAACACGACGAAGAGGATGAAGATGCGGTGTGGTTCAAGCAGACTATTAATAATGCGTGTGGGTTGTATGCTGTCTTGCATGCTCTAGCAAATGGTCGGGCCAAAGACTTTGTCAGTGAGTCGACGCAATTCCCCTTTTGCTCTAATAACCAAGAACCCTTTGATAGGACAGACTGACGAGATTCAGCGCCGGGATCGTTGTTAGACAACCTCCTTTCCATTACAGCGCCAATGGACCCGGCACAGGCCGCCATGGTGCTGGAAGGCTCACAGGAACTCGAGGATGCGTACGCTGCTATTGCGACAAAGGGCGACACGACAGCACCGCAGAGTGCCGAGGAAGAAGTCTACTTTCACTACATCTGCTTCGTCAAGTCACCAGATACCGGTCACCTCTACGAGTTGGATGGAGATAGAAAGGGCCCGGTGGACAGAGGCATTCCCAACGAAGAGGAAAAGGTGGATCTCGGACCAAAGTCCGTAGACATTGTCAGAAATTTCATTCAGCAGGGCAGAGAGAGTATCGGCTTCAGTCTCTTGGCCTTGACTGAGGGGGCATGAGCAGGCACATTCACATTTACGCATACGCAGACAGGCATCCTCCAGCGCAGCCATCGGCACATTTAGACCGAGGCGTTGCGGTGGCATTAATGATGGGTCTTTATTTAACTTTCTACATTCAGGTTGTCCATGGCGCCATTTAGCTCGCCTGGATAATCTTCTCCAACTGATCGGGGTCCTTGATGGTGGGCGTCAGGTTTTCACTGCCGTCCTTAGTGATGAGGATGTTATCCTCGATTCTGCACGAATTAGCATACTTATATACCAGGACATTCGGGTCAGGGCTAAACTTACCTCACACCGCCAACATCCCAGTACTTGTCCAAAACAGCTTGGTCAATAAACTTGGAGTGAACGGGGTCCTTGAGGTATGGCTCAATGATGAAGCTGCAGAAGTAGATGCCCGGCTCGACAGTCACGATACTGCCGGCGGGAATCTGGCCTCGGACACGCAGGTATCGGAACATGGGGTCCGTATCGGCGTAGTTGGGGTTACCACCGACATCGTGGGTGTCCATGCCCAGGTAGTGGCCAAGGCCGTGGGGGAAGAAGGCAACGCTTGTCCGGCTCTTGAGGATCTCATCCTTGTCGCCCTTCAGAATGCCAACAGCGTGGAGGCCATCGATGGCAATCTTGTGCGCCAGCAGATGAATATCATCCCAGATGACGCCCTCTTTCAAGGCAGCAGTTGTCTCCAGCTGCATCTTGAGAACGGCGTCGTAGATTTGACGGGACTCCTTGCTGAACTTGCCGGAAATGGGAAACGTGCGGGTCTACTCGATGTTAGTTGTGCAATACACAGCCTGTGACGCCAGAACACTTGACTCACGATATCAGATGCGTAGCAGTTCCATTCTGTACCAGCATCCAGAAGAAGGTTCAGCTTTCCTTCCAGGGGCGCATCGTTGGCAACGTAATGCAGAGTGGCAGCTGCGCGACCTCCAGCAAAAATACCGTGGTAAGCCTGGTTCTTGGCACCATTCGCGACGCTGTGCTGCAGGAAGAGAGCCTCCAGTTCCCTCTCATTCTTGGCGTTCTTGACGGCCTTGACAACGGCATGGTGACCGATTGTGGAGACATCGTTGGCCTTTCTGGTGAGGGCAACCTCGTAGTCGTCCTTGACCACGCGGCACCGCTCAATGGCATCCTTCAGAACACTGAAGTTCTTGTCATCGAACTCGAGGAAAGTGATGTTGTCGAGAACCTGGTCCTGGATGGCAAAGACGGTGTTCTTGGAGCCCTTGCCCAGTCGCGCAAGCTCGGCATTGACGTCTGTGGTGTACTTGACATCGTCGATATCGTACAACTCCTTGGCCTCGGAGGCGCTGACTGGGAGACCTGACCAGATGACGCTATCAGGATCGATAGGGGGGATGAAAAGAGTCGACTTGTTTGTCGCAAGATCGAAAACGTAGTGGCAGTCGGCGAGAGGGCAGCCGGTCAGGTAGTAGAAGTAGCGGCGCTGTCTTTGTGATGGGTGTCAGACATGGCTGGATGAATAGATGGCTATAGAGCAAAGGCTAAGAGGCTAGAGATGGTACCTGAAGGGCTCGGGCTCGTCATTGTCTTCGAGCATCTTGGTCATGCGACCCTCGACATAGAGAACGCCAGAGGCATTGGGGACCTTGGACTTGACGTAGTCGGCGACACGGAGGGCATGCTCCTTGGCGGGGTACTTGCCCTTGAGCACCGTTTCGTAGTCTTGAGCCATGGTGGGAGGTGTGGCGGAGAAGAGCCGCGTTGGTGACGACGTCTGGAGGGGGTTTGCTTTGCGATGCGACGGGAGAGCTCTCCGTGGTCTGCCAAGGGGTCTGGTTGCCGGGGCAGTGGATAGCAGTTGGATTTGGAGTTGACCGATGAGGCTCCTTGCTGCAGGTATTGGTGGTGATGGTAGTGTTGGTGGTACAAACTTGGGGCAGAGAGCAAGAATGCTGCGTGCTGGACGAGTAGATGTTTTGGTCAACATGAAGGGAGTCTGGCCGGCCGTCACACCCGACGATTCTGCCTTTGTGGAGGGGTCAGGAATTCAGACGAAGGAGGGGCACTCAGCAGCCAGCAGCACTGTAAGCCGAGTTTAGGCGCGCACCTCATGTGTTGGGTACTTCGTAAGGTGTGGTACAGCGGGACAGCGATAGCTGTAAGGTCTCCGTAAGGGTTTAGTGACGAATCAGAGCTCTGGAATGTGTCGGATAAGGAAGCTGGTTTGTGCCAACGGGCCCTGAATGGAGTCGAATTTCTCGAAGCTTTTGACGCCTTTCCCACCACGGCGGACGGGAGCAACAGTGCAATCTCGAGACTTCTTTACGTAATCACACGGTGCCCAAGTGTCCCCACTTCCCTCGGCACATTATGTAAGGTGAGCCGATTTTTGGATTGCACTGGCATACACTGATGGATTTTCCTGCCAGCTGGCAGCTAAGGTACGAGGGTACCTGTGAACGGAATTCGGGAGAAGAAGGCGCGAGAAAGTCACGATACCTGAGGCCGGGGCCATCGTCCACAGTCGTTTCTCCAACTCCAACGTCTGACGTACAAACTCCAAGCTTCTCCAAATGCCCTCCACCTGTTCACATGTCATGTTCAAGGGTGTCTAGTGTGCGCATCCACAACCCGTCCACGATTGTCCTCTTCAATCCGTTTTGGGCCTCCCTCGTGGCACTGGAACCCCTTCGCTGAGGCGGCTCAATAACGACGCCAGAAAAACAACGACGATGCAACTAGACCATACACACTCGCTGGATCACGATGCGACTGTAGCTCGCCCGAGCCTCACCGTTCCATGGGCTATGGACGGATGACACATATGGAGGGGCTGAAAACGCCCAGACCTAGACCATTAACCCAAACAAGACTTCTACCTGATTGTCTTCGGTCGAACGATTGTTACAAACAAACATCATTCTGTGTCCCGATGACACCTGTTCTGACCAAGAATCCGGGCTGGCCGATCTCTCCCTGTACAACACTACCAACGCCAGTCTGCCTTTCACATGAAGGAGCCGTCTCTGTTCCAGATACGACCTGCGTTCTTACATGCAAGACGACCAATCGAGACCAACGGCAGCCAACCAATACGGGGTTCCATCACCAAACGAAGGATCGCCTCCCTTGAACCTCACAACCTCGTTCTTGAAATTTTCAATTCTCAATTCTGTTCCCTCGACCAGGGTGACTACGTAACCTTCACAGCCCAGACATGGATTGTCCTTCTAGTGTCGACTTCAGTCTTCGCTTCGGCGAGAGGGTTGTGTCGCCTCATACGGGTAAATCCTCCCGAAGCCACCCAGCGCCAACTTGTGCAAATTGCAACCAAGAGACTCAGATGCCCCGGCTAGCCCAACGGGGCAGAGACCGGCACGTCAAGGCAACGACTTTTGCCAATTACCACTACCTACCACCATCTATCTACCTTAATACCGCAGTATGTAGCTGCTACTGCACTGCCCGCTTCAAGAATGACAACAGGCCAAGACTTGCCATTGCAGCGCAACAACATTCGCGACAACAGCTATCAGATGACGCCTAAGAAGCCTACTAGAGCTCCCTGATAAGGTTCTCTACTATATTAGTTAGTTATGATAGAGGCCGCGGACACTATCTAATAATCAAATGCCTTCGCAGCCTGCCTCCACTATCTTCGCCAACATCGAGGAGCATCGATGGATGTTATCCTGCTACTGCACTGCCCGCTTCAAGAATGACAACAGGCCAAGACTTGCCATTGCAGCGCAACAACATTCGCGACAACAGCCATCAGATGACGCCCAAGAAGCCCACTAGAGCTCCCCGATAAGGTTCTCTGCCACATTAGCTAGTTGTGATGGAGGCCGCGGACACTGTCCGACAATCAAATGCCTTCGCAGCCTGCCTCCACTATCTTCGCCAACATCGAGGGGCATCGATGGATGTTATCCTGCTACTGCACTGCCCGCTTCAAGAATGACAACAGGCCAAGACTTGCCATTGCAGCGCAATAATATTCGCGACAACAGCCATCAGATGACGCCCAAGAAGCCCACTAGAGCTCCCCGATAAGGTTCTCTGCCACATTAGCTAGTTGTGATAGAGGCCGCGGACACTGTCCGATAATCAAATGCCTTCGCAGCCTGCCTCCACTATCTTCGCCAACATCGAGGGGCATCGATGGATGTTATCCTGCACGGCCAACCGCCTGGATGGGCTCAGTCCGACATCCCAGCATGCGACTGATTACTGATTTGCTCAGAGCCTCACACGACGTTGCACCAACTCCACCACAGGTCCTTTCTGCTTCTCCAACGTCAGTGCTTTCTTCCCCGACCTTGGCCGCCAACCCACAAAATCCCCAGGGGGAATTATTGGACCTGTGTTTGTCCAGTGGCACTGGCACAATGGCCCCAAAAGTCCCCCAGTCGAACCACTGAACAATCAACTCGAGTCAAGTCTGAACCTCCGTCTTAGTCAATGGATCCTGGCGTGCCCAGGTTCTGCCACCGACCTTTCAGATGCCACTCTGGAACCGTTGGCCGAGCCGTACAGGAGAGAGAGAGAGTAAGAAGTCATCAACGGCAATAAGGACTCATTACACCGTGCCAGGCTGACAGAACAACACTCCCCTGCGAATATCGATATGCAGCCTGACACCTGGGTTGGGTACTCCATAAACCTACGGATAAGAAGTTGCATTCTGCGACCCAAAACTTCTTCTAGTCTTCTGGGGTGCTAGCCCAGGCTCTGTCGCCTAAACTCTCTGCCTCGCCGTGAGCCCGCCTTCACAAGGCACCCAACCTGCTTCAAAATCATGTCACGGTCATATAAAGAACCGAGAAATCGATGCGCAGTGAATTTGGCCTACGATGCTGATCCGCTTTCCCAGAACATGCATAGTCATCACTGCAGGTGGTTCAAACGGAGGCAAATACAGACAAGCGGCTTGGTACGTCCGTAATACGCGAACACCGCCAATGAGGCTGGCAGGTGGCGGGCAGGCACCTGAATACCTACCTCCGAATACGGGCATTATTCGTCAGTATTCGAGTCGTCTCGTCCTACCTGCGAAGATCTCGGGCCAAATACCGACGCTACCAGCTGTGCTCCATTCACCAAAATAATGTCCTGTCGGAGCTTCTGTTGGAGCATCCTTGCACAGTACAGGCACATACGATTCCTCCCCTCCGGCGCCCAGCGTTGGACGCTGCCGTATGCCGGCTAACATTCTTGGGGTCAAGGATGGCGCCTACAACCAGATCAGGCCTTCCGGTCCCATACCGCTTGCTCGAGAGTTGGGATCCATCACCAAAGTACGGATTACCATGTCCGGCTTTTATTCGTTCACGGTGCCACAACGTTCCACATCGCGCCAGTTCAGTTAACCGTTTGATACAGTCTTATACGTAGTAATTAGCGCTTTCATGGCCCACCTTGAAACCCCGTTCACCTCTCTGATTTCGTCCAATACAACACCGGACTGAGGAGGGTACCGAATCCTTCATATCGCCAATTTACGGTCTTTTGATCTTCCAACAGTCTACCCCGCAAGGAAGCCCGAACGCCACCCCCGTCCCCCGGCCACCCTCCGCTCCCGTTGCTCGCTCGCTCGCTCGCCCGCCCACACATCTGCAGCTTATTTAGGCGTGTTGGGCTCGGCAGTCCGCCTGGTGTCGGTCCGATAAGGCCATCTCTCGTTACGGTCCTCAGTGAATAAGAGGGAAGCGGTCTCGAAGCCTGGTCAGCAGCCCAATCACATCATTTTTTGGCCGTGGGTCTGCTCTCACACTGTTTGCAGGCTGCCCTCCCTCTTTTCTCCCGACATGACGTAGGACAAGCCTTGCTGAAAAAATACATACCACGACAGCCAGGATACGGGGGAAGATGCCGGGCATGGGTCAGAGGCAGCTCGCCAGCCCGCCGCTTTGCGCGAAAAAGGCCGTTTTGAATTCTTCAATATGACGGTGCTACTATCGCTTACCGCTCAAATCAACGTCGCGCAGCGCTCAGAGCAGAGCTGATGCGCGTGGTCCCGCGTCCCATATCCCAAGACATGTCAAGAAACTTCAAGCTCACTCAAGCCTTTTAATCTGTCGCCCATATCCTTTTCGGCGGTGGACCATGTGGACACAAGCAACGCAAAGCTTCGACGATCGAGCTTGGGTTTCTTTCTGTCCCTGCCTCTTGTCTCTGCTTCCCCGCGCTTGACCGGCTGGGATGATTGCGTGGCGCTCCGCGGCGGCCAAAAGTCAATGAATGCGCCAAGCGCTTGGCTCTCACGATCACTTCTCAGTATTGCGGGACGGGTGTGACTGGATGAACGACTCAGATGCCTCAAATCTTTCTGCACGTTACATTGCGAGGCACCAATACGTGACGCTGACAAGGGACCTGCGCATGTGTCACCTGGACAGTAACTATTCCCTTCCTTCGTCTCCCTTGGATTTGTTGTCCCAGCGAGAGCCCACTTGTACTCCGTACATACCCGTCAATTCGTCGGTGCTCCCCCTGGCAGAAGACAAACCATCGCCGGTGCAAGCTGTAGGCAGAGTAAAAAGCAACATCTACAAACCGCCAAGCTCTCCCACGACAGGGTTTTAGCACCAGAGAGCCCATGCTCAGGCCAACAATGCGAGTCCAGAGGCTAGACTCGAGCGGATTCTCCGTCCTCGCGTGGGGCAAGGCAGTCTAGGAACTTGATTACCATGCCGATCTCGACCAGTCACTTCACGCTCCTGTAGAACCAAAACTCCAGAGAACTGAAGCTTCTGGGGTGTGTGCGGAGACGCCAAGAAGACAGCTGCTCGAGTTTCTGGTACAGGATCATCGGCTGTTTTCGTTTGGTACCATGGGGTTGGGCTTGCCTCTCGCGCCTCTATAAAGATCCATGACTGCCCATGCGACGGTACCATGTTGGCCTTTCTTCTCGGTTGTCCTGTATGCGCGCCGTGCTTCCATTAACTTGTGAAGCCTATCTCAGACGTTGTCACAAGTTGAAGCTCATCGTGTCGAAGCCAGTCAACACGTTCACTCAAGAATAAGTACAAGACACGACACATAATAGCCACTCATCGCCAGTATGGCTGATAAGATTCATCCAGAAGGGTAAGCTCTGTTCACTGTTGTTGTAGCCTCCAAAGTCTTCTAACACGCATCTGTTCAGTGAAAAGGTCGCGGATGTCTCCGGACATCATGAAGAGCGTGGCACTCATCAGCCCGACCCAGTTGAGCTCAGCCGCAACATCGAAGCAAAGTAGGTTACCTCATAGTCGCCCGGCACCACATCCAAACATGTCTAACCAGAGCTAC